GGCTAATGGAGGCTAAATGCAAAGTTTTTCACTACAGTCAGTCTTGGTTCTTTTAATGACACAGAATTATTTTCTTTTAAGCATATTTACCAAATACCATTGCTTATCTACAAATATTCATTATCTCATTTGGTATGGTGGCTGGGCCACAGGCTGGGCAACCTAGGAGTCTGGATTTGATTCCTGGCAGGGGCCAGAGATTTTTCTCTTTTCCCTAAAATCAAGACTATCTCTGGAGCCCACCCAGCCTCCTGTGCAATGGGTACCAGGGGCTGTTTCGCCAAAGATAAAGTAACAGTGGAATGAAGTTGACCAGTCACCTCCATCTTGTTCTGACGTTATGAATGGTGGAGCTGTACCTCCATTCTCCTACACTTCTTCATGGCTTTGTGGTACTTAATTAAAAGTTGAGGGTAACTTTACATTTTTATACCTTTACATTTATTGTCATGAAATAAGTAGGCAAATATAAAATTTGTGCAGTATAACATATATGTTATTGGCAGAGCTCTCTCGATTGCTGCCTAGTGGGACCTATAGGACAACAGTGGGCGCCTGTGACTGTATTTAATGTATTAACCATTTGGGTTTTGCATTAAGAACTAGTGTTTCTCTAATGACAAAAATGTGAATGGAGTTTTCTTTGTATCTGGAATTAGAGTTCTGATGACAACAAATAACCTTCACCTGTTGCACTATGTGTTCCAATTTTAGAATTCTTACTTCACCATTTCATCTAACCTCAGTACATTATTATTTGAAAAGAAGGTAATTATTTCAGGCACACAAAACCATATCCATACTACTACCCTGTTTTTTTTTTGAAACCATTATAAAAGCAGTACAGTGCCTGAAGCTTCTTCAAGAATAGTTTATTATTATCATTATTTACTGTAGTTACAAATCTGTTGTATCAGACAGAAGTCTACTGTTGTAAAGCTAATCAAACTACTACATGGAACAGAGTTGTTTTTGCTTATGTTTCATTAAGTATTCAGCATATTAAAAACAGTTTCAAGTAAAAGGAGTGGATCTTAATTTTATATAAAACTTTTCCTTGTAAAAGGTAAAGTTGTCCCTGTGCTTAATGAATTAAGCACTACACCATGAAGGCATATGGGGAGTGGATGTATAGATCCACATTTTCTTGACCTCAGCACTAGCTGGAGGTGAGTCATCAGTTTCATGCCCCGGCCGCTTTAGCCCCGGGGAAAGATTCCCCAGTACGCATTGGATAGGAAGTTGGGTGGACCCCTGAGTCAGTCTAGACTACTTGGAGAACAGAAGATTCTTGACATTACTGGGACTTAACTTCAACCCCTCATTCATCTAGCCTGTAGCCATTTGCTACACATACTGCGCTATCCCGGCTCCTATATAGTAATTTCTTGTACAAGATTTTTTATGGTGAGCGCTGCCCCACTCCACCCCTTTATAAAATTAATTAATATTTATTCTATATNAATTTTATGCACTCTATGCTATGAATGCATAAAAACGAACATTGAACATGAATATTAACACTATTGGGAACTTTCATATTTTGGGACTTGATTGAATTCAGGTTCATGTCATCAAACCCTTGAACCATTTCAGGAGATACTTGATCAGTACATTCTCTGTTTCATATTCTTCAAAATTTCACCTTTTTGGCATATAGATATTTAACATCCTAAGTGGAAGAAATGCAATGATGGTAAATCAGGATTCCAATGTAATTAATTAAGCTTGTCATTTCATCAGTTGTACCTTTTTTAACACACTGTGAAACATATTATTTTTTCTTTGGCACCACAGCCCCATTGGGCCTAGGCCTACCTCCATGAACTTCTCTGTTCACTTCGGTTTTTCTAGATCTTACACATTCAGTAGGACTCCTTGGGCGGGTGATCAGCTCATCGCAAGGCCTCTACCTGTATACAAACACAGAAAAACGCACACACACGAACTAAACATCCATGTCCTGAGTGGGATTCGAACCTACGATCCTGGTTTCCATGCGAGCAAAGAAAGTACATGCCTTAGACCGCTTGGCTACCGTGACCGGCCTGTGAAACATATATTTATAGTTAAAATCGCTGCCACATGATCAGAAATGAATTATTGCTGTACTAAAGCAATCACAGATTTATTATCAATAAAACTCCAATGAACATTAGTATTTCAATTTTCTTTAGAGCAAGGGATGCCCGGGATTTGTTTCATCATCAATTCATTACAGTCAGAGATTCTCAGTATCTTGTACCCTACGAAGACATTACCAAGGGTAGCATTGTTAGATACAGATGAAGTTAAATTTTATAGTATAATTCATCCATATGGGATTTGAGGATCAAACAGCAGTGACTTTGAACAGTACTGTCTCCTGACCTGCGATTCTGTGATATCTGATAGAAGTTTACTGGAATTTTGGAGGGATGGATTGTCTTAATCTTCAGGGTCATACTAGCCATGCTAGAAAAAAAGCAAGCAACAAGTATAATGCTCGCTTAGCTTACTCTTCAGCTCTGAAGATGGAGGCACCACTATCCTCTAAAACATCGGAAAACGTTTGCTAGACTACCCGGAATTCCATCTCAGAAGATAGTACTTTCATAATTCATCCATTTTTTAAGCTAATTTCCACAGAAAGATAGTTATTTTGTAGGACATATCATTATGTCTGTCACAGAGTGTTAATTTTTTAATAAATCAGCTGATTTTTACAGCACTCGTCAAAATATTACCATGCCATAATGAATCTTGACACTGAGCATATGCATTGCAACTGTTATTTGAACTTCTGAAATGGGAACAGACGTTTTGTTAACTGTAATGAATTTAATTTAGACAAATGTCCAGTAAGTAAGAGAATTGTATGTATAGTGAGATGTTTTGTATGCAGTGAATTCTGATCAACACACCTTAGGGGTTAACTGTGGCACATATTCTTTAGAAAATTTTGAATGTGTTTTAAGAAAATCTTTATATATTCTATTCTGCAAACTTAGCATGTTTTGGAAGGAAAGACATTGGTACATAATATTATGGATATTGTATTGTACTCCTGTATATTACTTCATCTTCATAAAATCAGGCTTTCACATTTGTGAAATACATTTAAGTTAAGTGTTTAGCTGAGGAATGAGCTTTGCCACATTTGGCTCTGCTGTGAAGCATGCCTCGAACTCTGTAGTCTCCTGATTTAAATCCAGAGGCCTCTTTCATTTTTTTGCCTCTGCCCTACAAGAAAATCCTTGTATCCCACATGGAATAGGCCATAAATTTCCACCTCCACTCTTCCCCTTATAAGTATTCATAATTTTATGCTGTGCCCTGAATAGTTAAATAGGATGGTAGGGTGTGCACTGGATTAATTTAACTCACAATGTGGTCTGTTGTTGGCTATTGTGAGCACACTAGTGGACCTTTTGATTCCATAAAAGGCAGGGAATTTCCTCACTACCTGAGTGAATGTATGCTTTTCAAGAATGAATGCATTCCAGGGACTCTGTATAATTCAGTCATTTCTGTTACTTTAGTAAATGAAGTACAGTGGGGTTTAAATGATCGTTTGAGTTAAAATATTATATAATGATGCTGTTTCAACAGTCAGGATTGAAATGAGGTAGGATTATGATAAATGCCAATGGGGTGTGAGTGCATATAGTCTGATAGATTGTTCCCAGTGTTTTGGAGGAACTGCTATCTTCTATATATCCTGAACATGGAGGCAGCATATTTTTTCAAAATATTTGTAACAGTCTACCAGACCATGTGGCATCACATCCTAGGGTACAGTTATCTTTATAGTCATCACTGTGAGATCCCACAAATAGGAAAATTATTATGATGGCCTGGAAGCAGTGAGGAGACACAAACTCAGTTAGTAGAGACATGGGTTGGGTACCTCCAAAAACAGCTTTAATGCATTATTGCTGCACCTTCCTGCTCGGTATAGGTCTCAAAAGCATAGAGATTTCAAATGTTAACTTACCAAAAGGGATTAAAATAGTTGAAGGATGAACTTGTCACCTTTGGTTGAAAGTAAATAGTTCAGTTAAATAATTCATAATATTTACTAAACTCTTTTGAATTTATAGATTATGACAGGGATTAAAGAATACAGAGCAGTAGACCTTTGTTACATTTTACAGATTATACTGTCAAATGAAATTCTGAAACATGACCCTTCATTCACTCATGATTCTCAGTTGGAGGCCAATTACCCTGACTAAAGATTTTCATACTTTTTTATTCACAGTATCTCCAGGCATGTAATACCCCAAAATAGGCTATTATCTCTGCCATATCTTTTTTCAGTAATTTGTTTACATTCATTCTTTCATTGAAGAATGTATAGTCCATGCTGTTGAGAAGAGTCACTGAAGTAAGGAACCCAGTCATTCAAGATGCATGTGTACATATTCGGTTGTTTGAATTATAAAGAGGCAATAAACTCTGGAGGTGAACTACATTAAAACAGTTAAAAGCATATCTCTGTAGTTGCATATATTTGGCTCACTTGGCGAAGCAATCATGTCTGATAAGACCCTGTGCTGTCCCTGTGCTTAACTAATTAAGCACTACACCATGAAGGTATATGGGTGAGTAGATTTATAGATGCACATTTTCTTGACCTCAGCCGCTTTACCTCCGGGAAGGAACCCTGGTACCCATTGTTTAGACGGTTGGGTTGACCCCAGAGCCAGTCTGGACGATTGGAGAAGTGAAATTCTTGATCCTACCGGGACCCAAACTCCGGTCCCTCGGTCATCCAGCCCATAGCCAGTCTTTGTACCGACTATTCTATCCTGGCTTTAGTAATAGTGACAAAATACAATACATGATTTAACTATTTCAAATCATATTAATTTCATTAATCATTCTTTCCAACTGTGTTGTAAAGTCTGTTGTCATGATATCATATCTGCCACCTTGTGTATTGTGAGCGTGTGTTCATCATTATGTATTCTGACCTGAACAGCCAGATACACAAGTAAAATATCTTGAACTTTCAGGACAACAAAAGTTAGTCTATGGAACACCTGTCTCAGACCAGACAGAGGGTAGTATGGTGAGCAAAACAAGAGGTTTTCCAAAATCTAAGGGAGGACAAGGTCAACCTTCTGCCATTGATGGTGTTGGATCAACAGATGATGAACTAAATGAGAATTTTGATGATATAATAATCCCTAGAGGAGATGAAACATTACCATGGAGGAAAATTAGGAAAGGCAAACAAGATACAGCTCCATGGCGCCATGTATCTAGGGACAGATCCTTGGAAGGCAAACAAACAAAGGATGAAAGTCATCCAGGTGCACCAAAGTCAATCATACCATGGACACAGGAAGATGTGAAGCTTAAGAGAGCACAAAGGGTAAAAAAAGAGCCCCAAAAAGAGCATGTGGAGGAAGTTCAACTGAAACCAACGAAGAGAGACAAGAAAGAAATTCCTAGAGAAGAATTGGAAGAGGTGGATCTGAAGCCCATTAAGAAACAGTTAAGAGACCAAGGAAGACCAGAGGACACATTGTTAAAATCAGTTCCGAAAGAGAAACTGCATCCTATTGAGACTGAGCGAATTAAATTGAAACCTTTCGGAAAAGGAGAGACAGAGCTGCCTTTAGCATCAGAACAAATACCACTAAAGCAAGAGTCTAAGACAGATGCAGTACAGAGATCACAAGAGACATTGCTTAATCTGACAGAGCAAGAAGATACTATTATACTAGACAATAAAAAGAATGTAGATGAAATAGGCAGAAGAACATTGCATGATCAGGAAAAGAAAGAAGTTACTCCCAAAGTTGTTGAGGAATTAACCAAACCAATACCATGGACTCGGGAGGCTATCGAGCTTAAAAAGGCTCCAAGAGAAATAAAGGAACCACAAGTAGAAAAGCTTGAAACTATACAGTTAAAGCACACAAAAATGGAGAAGAAAGCAATTCCAAAAGAAGAGCTTGAACAGGTTGATTTGAAAGCTGTAACAAAAGAAAAACAAGATGTAGACCGGCCTGACTCTGCAAAACTAAAACCAGTAAGAAAAGAAGTGTCCAAATTGGAGGATTTAGAAAAACCCTTCAAATCTGTACCAGAATACTCAGCAGTTCGGAGGTCTGAAGAAGATGGCACAACATTAATTCGGACTGAAATATCTATGGATGAAACTAGACAACTAAAAGAAGTGAAGGAGAGAGCACATGAAAGTGTGATGAGAAGAACAGAAGTAGATGAATCAAGTTTCTTACAAGTGGATAAAACTGTTGAAGAGAAAGAGATAAGAGAGGATAAAACAGACTCAAGTTTCTTACAAGTGGATAAAACTGTTGAAGAGAAAGAGATAAGAGAGGATAAAACACCACATATGAAGTCCGAGGAGGAACAAAGTCAGAAACCAGGACTACCTTGGACTCAAGAAGGTATAAAGCTGAAAAGAACACCGCTTCAAAAGAAGGAACTTAAGATGAAAGAAACGCTGGAGGGTGCAAAGCTAAAACCAACAAAACGTGATCAGAAAGAGCTGCCAAAGGAAGAACTGGAACATGTTGATTTGCGAACTGTCAAGAAAAGACCTCAAGAGCCTGAAAAATCTGATGGTGATACTTTACATCCTGTTCAAAGTGTCTCACTGGCTCCTTCACAAGTTGATCAGGTTTATTTGACACCAGGTCGTCCTGGCAAGTCAAAATCAGAAGTAACTGAAAGGAAACCTAAAGAGAGTCTAGAAACAAGATCAGAACGAGAGGATTTGACCTTGCAGCAAATTCAAAGAACCAAAGTTACAACTTCACAAACACAAGATAAAGTGAAGACAATTGGAGAAGAAGATTCTGGTTTCAAGGAACAGATTACAGCACCTGGGAGATCACTAGAGGACAAAAGTCAGAGATTTCCAGAAACTGAAATAGAAGAAGAACAAACCAAGCTTCCTAAACAAGCACCATGGACCCAAGAGGTTATAAGGTTAAAGAAAACATCAAAACAATTTAAGGAACATATAAAAGAGAAACTAGATGAGGTACAGCTGAAGCCAACCAAACGAAATCAGAAAGATATTCCAAAGGAGGAACTTCAAACTGTTGATTTACAGCCTATTGGAATAATACCACAAGAGTCCAAAAAATCAGAGGCTGTTACCTTGCGCCCAGTTGTGAGAAGCATTCTGGCTCCTTTGGAAGCTGCAGAAGTTCCTCAAAAACCCACTCATCCTGACAAGATGAAGCCTGAGAAGTCAGGAGCAGTTGATAGGAAATCTGAAGAAACTTCAATAATGAGGAAAGAGGAAGAAGATATAACTTCACTACAGATTAAAAGAACTCAAGATACAACTTTAGAAACAAAAGACAGATTACAGAAAACAATGGAAGAAAACTCGAGTTTGCTGATTATTGAGGAAACAACCAAAGAACAAATGACAGCACCTTGGAGATCACAAGAGGACACAACCCAGAAATTGTCAAAAACAGAGATCAAGGAGCAGACCAAACTTCCTAAACAGGTACCATGGACTCAGGAAGTTGTTGCATTGAAGAAAGCACCAAGAGAAAAGAAAGAACCCCAACGAAAGGAATTAGAAGAAGTGCAGTTAACACCAGTAAAAAAGCCATTGAAATCAGAGACAGAAGCGATACAGAAGTTGGATACTCTTATACCACAGGAAGTTCAAGAAAGAACAGTTACTTCAGAGGAATTAGTAACCGTGAAAGTGACCCAAGATATAGAAGAAGACCAACTATCCAAAATACCGTGGCAGAAAGTGGAAGATGTTACAATGCTCAAAAATCGAAAACAAGAGGAAGGAGTTCAGAAAATTGCAGCTCCTGAGAAGTTACCAGATATGGATGTCCCCGAGAAGGATATACCACATAAGAAACCGCAGGTGCTCTGGCAAAGAGAAGAAAGAGAACTTTTGCCCATTCATTTAACGGATCAAGAAAAACCAAAACCAGATGAACATTTCATGAAGTCAGAGTTGCCGTGGCACAGAAAAAGTAAGGAAGTTCCCAAAAACAAATCACAAGAACAACAGAAAGTTAAGGAAGTAGTATTGAAACCTGATGAGGGTGTTCTATCAGAAGTAGAGAAATCAGAATTTAAATCTAAGCTGCCTTGGCAGAGAGATAAGAAACCCAAAAGAGAAGAGGTAAAACCAGAGGAAGTTACTCCGAAACCAGTTCATAAGGATGTACCAAAAGAGATTAAAGTAGAAGAGGAAATAAAACTGAAACCTGTTACTAAGGACAGGCCACAATCTCCACAGCCTGAAGAAATTGTTTTGAAACCAATTCCTAAGAAGGGAAAGCCAGAGAAAGAGAAGGATGAAATTCAGCACAAACTTTTGAAACCAGCTGCAGATATGCAAGCACTCCCTGAAGAAGAAAAGCCAGTTCCCTCCACGTTGACTGAAGAGAAGCCAGAAGAGGAGAAACTATCTAAAGTTCCATGGCGCCGAGGCAAGAAACCTGTGAAAGAAGCACCACAGCCAGAAGTGGTCACCCTTAAACCGATGCTTAAAGAAATACCTAAAGATATTGAACAGGAAGAGAAAGTGGTACTGAAGCCCATACCAAGTGAGAGGCCACAGTCCCCAAAACTAGAAGAAGTGACAGTGAAGCCTGTTGGAAGGAAGGAAAAGCCAGTGGCAGAGAAGGAGAAAGAAATTGTCACATTGAAGCCTGTTCCAAGGAAGGAGAAACCAGTTGAAGAAAAGGAGGACATCATATTGAAACCTGTCCCAAAGAAGGAGACACCAGGTGAGGAGAAGGAAGAGACACATTTGAAAAAAATTCCAAAGAAAGAGATGCCAGTTCCTTCCATGGTAACTGAGGAGAAACCAGAAGATGAGAAACTACCTGATAAACCTGAAGTTCCATGGCGCCGAGGTAAGAAACCTGTGAAGGAAGCACCGCAGCCAGAAGTGGTCACCCTTAAACCGGTGCTTAAAGAAATACCTAAAGATGTTGAACAGGATGAGAAAGTGACACTGAAGCCCATCCCAAGTGAGAGGCCACAGTCTCCAAAACCAGAAGAAGTGATACTGAAACCTACTGGAAAGAAGGAAGAGCCAGTGGCAGAGAAGGAGAAAGAACTTGTCACATTGAAGCCTGTTCCAAGGAAGGAGAAACCAGTTGAAGAAAAGGAGGACATCATATTGAAACCTGTCCCAAAGAAGGAGACACCAGGTGAGGAGAAGGAAGAGACACATTTGAAAAAAATTCCAAAGAAAGAGATGCCAGTTCCTTCCATGGTAACTGAGGAGAAACCAGAAGATGGGAAACTACCCAATAAATCTGAAGTTCCATGGCGCCGAGGTAAGAAACCTGTGAAGGAAGCACCGCAGCCAGAAGTGGTCACCCTTAAACCGGTGCTCAAAAAAATACCTAAAGATGTTGAACAGGATGAGAAAGTGACACTGAAGCCCATCCCAAGTGAGAGGCCACAGTCTCCAAAACAAGAAGAAGTGACACTGAAACCCACTGGAAAGAAGGAAAAACCAGCGGAAGAGAAGGAGGAAGAAGTGGTCGTATTGAAACCTGTTCCAAGGAAAAGAATTCCTGAAGAGAAGGAAGAGATAAATTTAAGACCAGTTCCAAAGAGAGAGAAACCAGAAGAACAGAAGGAAGAAAAGAGTCTTACACCTGTACCAGGGAAAGAACAGCCAAAAGAAGAGGAGGAAGAAAGTAACTTGAAACCTACGTCACTGAAAGGGAAACCAAAAGAAGAAAAAGAAGAGGCCAGGTTGAAACTAGTCCCAAAAGAAAAGAAAGCAGAAGAAGAGAAGAAAGAAATTATATTAAGACCAATTCCAAGGAGCGAGAAGCTGGAGGAAGAAGAGCAAGAATTTAGATTGAAACCCACCTTAAAAGAAGATAAATCTGCAGAACAGATAGAAGTGCAGTTGTCATCAGTGTCTGCGATTGTGGAAGAAGAAAAACAAGCAGAGAAAATGACAGAAAAATCCGAATTATCTTGGCGTCGAGGCAAGAAGCCCAAAACAGAGGAATCAAAACCAGAGGAAATTGTTCTGAAACCAGTTCATAAGGATGTACCAAAAGAGATTAAAGTAGAAGAGGAAATAAAACTGAAACCTGTTACTAAGGACAGGCCACAATCTCCACAGCTAGAAGAAGTTGTTTTGAAACCAATTCCTAAGAAGGAAAAGCCAGAGAAAGAGAAGGATGAAATTCAACAAAATATTTTGAAACCAGCTGCAGATATGGGAGCACTCCCTGAAGAAGAAAAGCCAGTTCCCTCCACGGTGACTGAAGAGAAGCCAGAAGAGGAGAAACTATCTAAAGTTCCATGGCGCCGAGGCAAGAAACCTGTGAAAGAAGCACCACAGCCAGAAGTGGTCACCCTCAAACCGGTGCTCAAAGAAATACCTAAAGATGTTGAACAGGATGAGAAAGTGGTACTGAAGCCCATCCCAAGTGAGAGTCCACAGTCTCCAAAACCAGAAGAAGTTATACTGAAACCTACTGGAAAGAAGGAAGAGCCAGTGGCAGAGAAGGAGGACATCATATTAAAACCTGTTCCAAAGAAGGAGACACTAGCAGAGGCGAAGGAAGAGATGCCAGTTCCTTCCATGGTGACGGAAGAGAAGCCAGAAGAGGCGAAACTACAAGATAAATCTGAAGTTCCATGGCGCCGAGGTAAGAAACCTGTGAAGGAAGCACCGCAGCCAGAAGTGGTCACCCTTAAACCGGTGCTCAAAGAAATACCTAAAGATGTTGAACAGGAAGAGAAAGTGGTACTGAAGCCCATACCAAGTGAGAGGCCACAGTCCCCCAAACCAGAAGAAGTGACAGTGAAGCCTGTTGGAAGGAAGGAAAAGCCGGTGGCAGAGAAGGAGAAAGAAATTTTCACATTTAAGCCTGTTCCAAGGAAGGAGAAGCCGGTTGAAGAAAAGGAAGATATCATGTTGAAACCTGCTCCAAAGAAGGAGACGCCAGCTGAGGAGAAGGAAGAGACGCATTTGAAAGAAATTCCGAAGGAAGAGGTGCTAGTTCCTTCCATGGTGACCGAAGAGAGGACAGAAGAGGGGAAACTACCCGATAAATCTGAAGTTCCATGGCGCCGAGGTAAGAAACCTGTGAAGGAAGCATCGCAGCCAGAAGTGGTCACCCTTAAACCGGTGCTCAAAGAAATACCTAAGGATGTTGAACAGGAAGAGAAAGTGACACTGAAGCCCATCCCAAGTGAGAGGCCACAGTCTCCAAAACCAGAAGAAGTGATACTGAAACCTACTGGAAAGAAGGAAGAGCCAGTGGCAGAGAAGGAGAACATCATATTAAAACCTGTTCCAAAGAAAGAGACACTACTAGCCGAGGCGAAGGAAGAGATGCCAGTTCCTTCCATGGTGACGGAAGAGAAGCCAGAAGAGACGAAACTACAAGATAAATCTGAAGTTCCATGGCGCCGAGGCAAGAAACCTGTGAAGGAAGCACCGCAGCCAGAAGTGGTCACCCTTAAACCGGTGCTCAAAGAAATACCTAAAGATGTTGAACAGGAAGAGAAAATGGCACTGAAGCCCATCCCAAGTGAGAGGCCACAGTCTCCAAAACAAGAAGAAGTGATACTGAAACCCATTACAAGGAAAGAAGAGCCAGTTGAAGAAAAGGAGGACTTCATATTGAAACCTGTTCCAAGGAAGGAGACACCAGAAGAAAAGGAAGAGACATGTTTGAAAGAAGCTCCAAAGAAAGAGAAACCTGAAGAGAATAAGAAGGAAGAAAAGTTAAAACCAGTTCCAAAGAAAATTAAGACAGTCGGGGAGAAACAGGAAGTAATGTTGGAATATGCTCCAAGAAAAGAAAAGCCAGAAGAAGAGAAGGAAGAGTTCAGGTTGAAACCAGTTCCCAAGAAAGAAAACCCAGAGGAAGAGAAGGAAGAAATCATTTTAAAACCTATTCGAAGGAAAGAAAAGCCAGACGAAGAGAAGGAAGAGGTCAGGTTGAAACCAGTTCCCAAGAAAGAGAAACCAGTGGAAGAGAAGAAAGAAGTTAGTTTAAAACCTATTCGAAGGAAAGAAAAGCCAGAAGAAGAGAAGGAAGAGGTCAGGTTGAAACCAGTTCCCAAGAAAGAAAAACCAGAGGAAGAGAAGGAAGAAATCATTTTAAAACCTATTCGAAGGAAAGAAAAGCCAGACGAAGAGAAGGAAGAGGTCAGGTTGAAACCAGTTCCCAAGAAAGAGAAACCAGTGGAAGAGAAGAAAGAAGTTAGTTTAAAACCTATTCGAAGGAAAGAAAAGCCAGAAGAAGAGAAGGAAGAGGTCAGGTTGAAACCAGTTCCCAAGAAAGAAAAACCAGGGGGAGAGAAGGAAGAAATCAGTTTAAAACCTGTTCCAATGAAAGAAAAGCCAGAAGAAGGGAAGGAAGAAATCAGTTTAAAACCTGTTCCAAAGAAAGAAAAGCCAGCCGAAGAGAAGGAAGAGGTCAGGTTGAAACCGGTTCCCAAGAAAGAAAAGCCAGAAGAAGAGAAGGGAGAGGTCAGTTTGAAACCAGTTCCCAAGAAAGAGAAACCAGAGGAAGAGAAGAAAGAAATCAATTTAAAACCTATTCGAAGAAAAGAAAAGCCAGAAGAAGAGAAGGAAGAGTTCATTTTGAAACCAGTTCCCAAGAGAGAGAAACCAGAGGAAGAGAAGAAAGAAATCAGTTTAAAACCTGTTCCAAAGAAAGAAAAGCCAGCCGAAGAGAAGGAAGAAATCAGTTTAAAACCTGTTCCAAGGAAAGAAAAGCCAAAAGAAGAGAAAGAAGAGGTCCAGTTGAAAACAGTTTCCAAGAAAGAGAAACCGGAGGAAGAGAAGAAAGAAGTAAGTTTAAAACCTATTCGAAGGAAAGAAAAGCCAGAGGAAGAGAAGAAAGAAATCAGTTTAAAACCTGTTCCAAAGAAAGAAAAGCCAGCCGAAGAGAAGGAAGAGGTCAGTTTGAAACCAGTTCCCAAGAAAGAAAAGCCAGAGGAAGAGAAGGAAGAAATCAGTTTAAAACCTGTTCCAAGGAAAGAAAAGCCAAAAGAAGAGAAAGAAGAGGTCCAGTTGAAAACAGTTTCCAAGAAAGAGAAACCGGAGGAAGAGAAGAAAGAAGTAAGTTTAAAACCTATTCGAAGGAAAGAAAAGCCAGCCGAAGAGAAGGAAGAAGTCAGTTTGAAACCTGTTCCCAAGAAAGACAAACCAGAGGAAGAGAAGAAAGAAATTATTTTAAAACCTATTCCAAGGAATGAAAAGCCAGAAGAAGAAAAGGAAGAGGTCAGTTTGAAACCAGTTCCCAAGAAAGAGAAACCAGTGGAAGAGAAGAAAGAAGTTAGTTTAAAACCTATTCGAAGGAAAGAAAAGCCAGAGGAAGAGAAGGAAGAGGTCAGGTTGAAACCGGTTCCCAAGAAAGAAAAGCCAGAAGAAGAGAAGGAAGAGGTCAGGTTGAAACCTGTTCCCAAGAAAGACAAACCAGAGGAAGAGAAGGAAGAAATCAGTTTAAAACCTGTTCCAAGGAAAGAAAAGCCAGACGAAGAGAAGGAAGAGGTCAGTTTGAAACCAGTTCCCAAGAAAGAGAAACCAGTGGAAGAGAAGAAAGAAGTTAGTTTAAAACCTATTCAAAGGAAAGAAAAGCCAGAGGAAGAGAAGGAAGAGGTCAGTTTGAAACCAGTTCCCAAGAGAGAAAAACCAGAGGAAGAGAAGGAAGAGGTCAGGTTGAAACCGGTTCCCAAGAAAGAAAAGCCAGAAGAAGAGAAGGAAGAGGTCAGGTTGAAACCAGTTCCCAAAAAAGAAAAACCAGAGGGAGAGAAGGAAGAAATCAGTTTAAAACCTGTTCCAAGGAAAGAAAAGCCAGAAGAAGGGAAGGAAGAAATCAGTTTAAAACCTGTTCCAAAGAAAGAAAAGCCAGAAGAAGAGAAGGAAGAGGTCAGTTTGAAACCAGTTCCCAAGAAAGAGAAACCAGAGGAAGAGAAGAAAGAAATCAGTTTAAAATCTATTCGAAGAAAAGAAAAGCCAGAAGAAGAGAAGGAAGAGGTCAGTTTGAAACCAGTTCCCAAGAAAGAAAAACCAGAGGAAGAGAAGGAAGAAGTCAGGTTGAAACCAGTTCCCAAGAGAGAAAAACCAGAGGAAGAGAAGGAAGAGGTCAGGTTGAGACCTGTTCCCAAGAAAGAAAAGCCATCCGAAGAGAAGGAAGAAATCAGTTTAAAACCTATCCGAAGGAAAGAAAAGCCATCCGAAGAGAAGGAAGAGGTCAGTTTGAAACCTGTTTCCAAGAAAGATAAACCAGAGGAAGAGAAGAAAGAAATCATTTTAAAACCTATTGCAAGGAATGAAAAACCAGAAGAAGAAAAGGAAGAGGTCAGTTTGCAACCATTTCCCAAGAAAGAGAAACCAGTGGAAGAGAAGAAAGAAGTTAGTTTAAAACCTATTCGAAGGAAAGAAAAGCCAGAAGAAGAGAAGGAAGAAATCAGTTTAAAACCTGTTCGAAGGAAAGAAAATCTGATTGAAGAAAAGGATGAGGTTAGCCTCAAAGCAGTTCCCAAGAAAGAAAAACCAGAAGAAGAGAAGGAAGAAATCAATTTGAAACCTATTTCAATTGAAGAAAAGCTAAAGGAAACTGAAGATGTGGTGTTGAAGTTTGTAACAAAGGCAGAAAAACGAACGGAAGAGGGGGAAATGGAGAAGATTGTATTAAAACCCATTTTGAAAGCAGAAATGGCAGAGGAGAAAGAGGAAGTAGTGGAATTGAAACATGATTTGGAAGAACAACCAGTACCTCTACAGGAGACTGATGAACCTAGGACTGAAGATGGAAAGTCACCTGAGAAAACAGATCTTCCTTGGCGTAGAAAGAAACCAAAGAAGCCACAACAAAAGCCAGCCAATGATGTAGGCCGACCAGAAGAAGTTCTACAAACAGTTCAAGTTACATGTGAGTCCAAAGATGTGGAAGTACCTGAAGAGAAGAAAGTGGCACCTTGGAGAAGGAGAAAGATAACAAAGCCTCAAGAGACAATTCCAGTGCCAGTTTCTGAAGAATCCAAACCAGAAGAAACTGAAGAACCTTGGGGGAAGGAGAGATTACAGTTACCAGAATTGAAACCAGTTCAGGTTGAGGACAAGGGAGAAGAGTTCACTGAGGAGAAAAAGTCTGAGACACGTGTTACTCTCTCAACCATACAGAAACAAGTGGCTGTGAGACCAAAGCCCGAGTTTCCTTCAGAAGAGATTAAGGAATCTGAAGAAGTGCATCAGATCTGGCAGAAGGAGATTAAAGTGGACACAGTTTCTAAGAAGAAGGTGATACAGCATGGAAGAGTGTCGGTTCCAGAGGATGACAGACCATTAAGAGAGCTAGAGATCGTAACTGCCAAGCGAGTTATGGAGGGTGTGATATGTCTGCCAGAGGAACCAGTGGTAGAGGATGTGGAGGTACTTGAAGATCAACGTACAGTGAGACATTCTTTGGTACAGGAGACAGCTGCTGAAATAACAACTATGTCATCAAAGACTGTTGCACCTTACTTTATTCAGCGTTTACAACCAGTCACTGCTAAACCTAACAAGACTGCATTGTTCACATGTAAAGTTCATGGCTATCCATTTCCAGAACTTACCTGGTATCATAATGGAGTAGAAATTCAGCCAACATCTTCTACAGTTTTTAAGGTAGTTGAATCCACAGCCACACTTGAGATCAGCAATGTCACTCCAGATGATGTTGGAAACTACACTTGTCAGGCCTCTAACCCTGCAGGTGTTGCAACCTCGACAGCCAATCTTGTTGTTATAGGTATGTGTCAGCGTCTGGCATGCAGCAGTGTTTTATGATGTAATATGCATGATTATATTATTTCTTCAGACTTATTCGTAACTTGATTTACATTTTAATCAATTATTTAACGTTTTTTTTTCTGTTATTTGATTTTTAATGGCTTAGTTTGTGATCTGGATGCATATTTTTGCTGTGTTAGTGTATGTTTTATTGGCTCTAAATAAAAAGTATTCCCTTAGTGAAATCTAAAAAGAAGAAAAAGGGACAGCTAGTGTTCTGCACAGAAAAGTTTCATAATAAGCTGTGTAAACTTGGTCTTTAAGTTTATGAATCTTATGACTGTTATTAGGATCTGTTTATATTTTGTTTGCATACATTATCTAACTTCTAGTACGTTCTTGTATAGGACTTTCAGTACATTCAGTATAGTATATCTGTTTGGAACCAGCTGATTTGTTGTTGATAAGACTATATAACATACAACAAACCTTCTTGTATTTGATTAGCTGGTAAAATTAGCAACAAAGTCTAGAGTAAAAGTTATAAGCATTTAAATAGCCTGAGCAGAAGGCCAGGTCATTTGGCCTCAGTGTTTTGACCCCTGCAGTATGAGGCTTCCTGCCAAGAAAAGTCTCAGTTGTCTCTTAACTTTGCTTTGCACAAGGATCATTTCCCTAATCCTCATGTCCATTATGTAGCATATGACTTTCATCATTGTTTTCTGTATGGCTGTAAGAGTTAGATGTAGTAAGTTTAATGGTTGACCATATATGTGTGACTTATTTCCTTGTGCCTCATTCTTCTGATGCTTGCAAGTCAATTTTAAAATCCAAGTTCTGGGAGATAGTCATAGATGCATGATGGTAAATTGATTTATATTCCTAGCAATCAAAAGTGTGTTTTAACCTTACACTTCTTTTTCGTGTTGGTTATTAAACATTAGTTGGCAGTGCTTAACAGCATAAGAGAATGCTTCAACAGATATCACAGGTATTTGACCGTTTAGCAACTGGTTGAAGATGTGTCACATGTAAGCAGTTTCACATGAAAATTGCACAGGGATGTTAAAAGTGTGAACTGCATAATCATTTTCTGACATGGAATAATGTCTTATCTCTTTTTAAATAACGCAGAATGTGTGTGTGTGAAAAATTGTGATATATATTATGCATGGTTTTTGAAAACTGGTAATTCATTCCTTGCTGATTTTTAAATTGGACGTGTACCAGTGTTTCAATTTGTTATTCCTATTCTCTTTGCAATACAGAAAAAGAGGAAAGTGGAACTGCTCCTTACTTTATTCAGCCACTGAAGCCTCAGGTGGTACAACCTAAAGAAGTTGCAACATTGCAGTGCATAGTGGTGGGTACTCCCACACCAACTGTCAAATGGTACTGTTCCAATAAGGAATTGAAGCCAGGAAGAAGTCGAGAAATCAACTACAACTCAGAGACTGGAATTGCAACCCTTAAACTTTTGGAGCCAACTGAGCAGGATCAAACTATATATACTGTCCGTGCTGCCAATGCCCATGGCCGAGCAGAATGCCGAGCCAACCTCATTGTTGGTAGGTAATCATAAAGAACATTCTTAAGAAGGAAAGTGATATTGTGGACTTTCATAAATGTAGCAATCAACTTATTTTTCTTTTCCAGGAGAGGCACTTACAGTACATAAACCAGAAGTGCTTCATGCCCCCAAGATCACCCAACCAGTTCAGGCAAAAATGGTGCCAGCTGGAGATGCTGTTACACTTGAAGCAAAATTTGAAGGAATACCTAAACCAGAGGTGCGATGGTATCGTAACGGCAAGGAGTTAATACCAAGTGAGAAAGTGCATATAATCATAGAAGAGCATAGGACGACATTGCACATTCCTCAAGTGTTTCGTCCTGATGGAGGGAAATATGAAGTCCGTGCAGTAAACCCTGCTGGAGAGGCACGCAGCTCTGGAACAGTCTCTATAACATGTAAATCTTATAGAATTTTTCAATATTATGCACAGTTCAATTAAATATTTTATTGATATTAATAATGGTGTTTGTTTTATTATTGTTTTAGCGGGATCAGAACCTGAAATGGCTGAAGTGGTTCCTCCTCGTTTTATTGAACCACTGAAACCCCAAACAGTAGCTGAGGGAGAGGTTGTTATCATGGAGACCCGTGTTGAATCACACCCAACATGCTCATTCCAGTGGTTTCATCACTCTGTTCCAATCAAGGTTAGTAAATTGCTTCAGTAAATATATTTTTGAGTTAGTGTACCATATAACAGTAGTATTATGAGTAGTAAGAACCATGATAGTAATTGTCAGTACTTTGAAACAGTCGTCTCCAGAGTTGCGAGTGGTAACAACTGATAACCATTCAGTGTTAATAACAAGAGAAGCCCTTTCTGAACATGCTGGCATCTACACTTGTCGGGCGGAAAACGTTGTTGGATCTGTGACTTGTACTGCTACACTTAATGTCATGCCTGACACTGAATGGGAGGATGTAACAGAGCTTGCATCACCAACATTTGTCCAGAAACTGGCTAATGTTCGTGTGATGGATGGAGAAGAAGTACATTTTACATGTCAGGTTAGTTTCTTTATTTATGTTAATCCTGAACTGGTAGTAACATATATTAATATTTGATGAGATGAGGCAGCATGTATGAAATTTATCACCTTGTTTACTTTGATCCTAATTATGTAGGTTACTGGTAAACCAGTCCCTAAAATTACATGGTACCATAAGAATGCACCAATAAAAGAAGCTAAAGATGTTACAGTATATCAAGACTCTGAGGGAGTATGTAAACTTGCAATCAGTGAAGTTTTCCCAGAGGATGCTGGTGAATACACTTGTCATGCCAGTAACAAAGTTGGTGAGGCTGTCTGTGCTGCATCTTTGATTGTTGAAGGTCAGTTTTTGACTTGGCATTCAGTCAGACTTGAATATTTCCTAAGTTTATCTCAAGTATTAACATTTAAAAAATGTCATTTTCCACTATGAAAGAGATTCAATTAAACTTCATAACATGCTTCAGAATACTCAGATAAAGCTCTATATAAGTGAGAAAATCATTCAGACAGTGTTAATAATTGTCCAATTTATATTTGTACAGCATATGAATATGTACCTGATGCAGAGATTGCTTCTGTAACAATTGGCACATCACTTGCCATGGGACAAAGTGGTTCTGAAGAAGATTTATTGACTGAAAAGGTAATTTACTGGAGGTCAATTTATGATGCAGACTATGGTTCTTGATGTAGTACCATGACATTGATATTTAGCTTGGACAGTTATTTGTAGATTGAAAGGGAAATTGAAATAAAAATTGATCTCCAATGAAGCTGATCCTTTATATATTGCCCATCCAAATATAGTGTCATGGAAGTGATCAAGCATCTTCTGTGTGATATTGAACAGCTTAGCTTATATGCATAAAATGATTGGCTTACAGGGACTGAGTTTGTTGTCTCAAAAGTGGTCATAATTATTAACATTAACACTATTTTGCTTCCTTTGAATTTTAAAAACTGATTGAATTAATATGTGTATTTTATTAAGATTATTGGGCTGTTGTTTGGTGAGAATGTATATCTGTATGTATAAATTTTAATAAAATTTGTTAGAAACCTGTCACAGCAAATCACTTTTACACTGTAACCTAGTGCTATACAATAACAGTAAAATCACTTAATCTGTTTGAATCTTAAAAATAAACTTTAGTAATATGTGTTATTTGAATACAAAACTATACCAAACCAACACACTATTTATATTGCAAATGAACAATTGAATGAATGCTACTTCTTTAAAGAAGGTTATAAAGGCCTAGAAACTTAAGTGAGATTACTGCATCACAAAACTCTTGTTTATTCCTTAGTTATTTCTGTATGAAGTGACAATAATTTGTAGCATACCTGATGCAACATTACACACTTTTATTACCAACAAAGCATAGCATGTGTCAGTAACAGAATCATTGAAGTAGATAGAAGTGAGAGGTGCATGAACAGTGTGTGAATTTAAGTCTCAGAGAATAAGTGGAAATTTCAGAAGTTCACTGTTAAAAAAGTCCTTCATTTACTATTTCTTCAGTAGTTGAAATTGCTTTGACTCTCCACTCATTGTACTAACCTGCTGAAGCTTATCCAGGGCATGTAGTAGCGTAGTTGATTGAGGTACTATTCTACAAGCTTGAAGGTTGCTGGTTCGATTTCCAGTGAGGTCATTTGATTTTTCAATTGACCTAATCCTTCTAGCCACACTATGGCCATGGGGTCAACTCAGCCTCTAACAGAAATGAGGCTGACAACCTCACTGCCGTCAGTGAGCCTATTGTCTGGAAAACGTGGGAACCTCAACATGTCACAATCCTATAGGCCTCCACAGCCTGTTACACGAAGAGCTTTGCCTTACCTTACTGAAATGTATCTAAAATAAACAAGAGACATCTGTGTTATAAAGTGTTCTCAAGTCCTGTATTAAACAATAGAGATGTAATGTTTCATTTGCAGTATATTTTGACAGTTAAGTACAGTAGACTGCCAATTATTTGTAAGCAGATTATCCACTTTGTGGCTTAACCATGGAGCTTTTAGAATCCCTTAGGTATTGCTTATAGCTGCCAATTTTGATTTACTGTTGGTGGCTACATGTTTTACGGCAGTATATAGCACTGAAGCTTCACAATAATTTTCAGTCTTTCTCGCCCTGTTGCAACTATTTGATTAGTTTATTACCCTTTGTACCTGTCTTCTGCCACTGAAGAAGGGTTGCTTCCTTCTCTTAGAAGGATATTTATCACATTGGATAGTGATTGGTAGCATGATCACTAGACCTTGAAGTCCACAGTTTTTTACAGCATTTTACTTCTCTGAGATTTCTATACTATATTTATCTAAATATAAGGTGATCCCGCTTATCAGTATTACAGTTGGTCCAGTTATCCATTTGACTAAGGTTCTACATCTTTGTTCATCCTTGTTTCAGACCATGAAATGCATTTCATATGGAATCACAATTTAATTGTTTTTTCCACTGTCCACTTGCATCAGACATTTACTTACATGATGCTGAATTTTCATGCTGTGATGCAATTGACATTTTCTTTTGCATGCTTCACAACCAGAAATTTAAAGCTCCCTTCATAACTGAACACTGATATCTGTAATCATGTAGAAATTCTCTTTTTGACATGATTGCCAGTGATTTTTGTAACAGTTTCTACTCTCTTGCTCTCAATGGACATACTATGAACACATATTACAGCTCCATACTTGAGAATGCTGATGACACTGCAGGCCTTCATGGTGGCCATAGATTAACTACATACTGAAGCATTGATTTCATGTAGTGCAAAATATATTTCCTTGACCTTGAACTAAACACAGAGAATGTTACAAAACAACCAAAGTGCTAACTCTGAAAACATTACCTACAGAATACCACTGGTAGTATAAAAAGATTGACTCCAGTGCATTATTTTTTAAATATGTGAATGTAAGATGATCTTTAATTTTTCAGATGCCCAAACATTGTAATGGGAACTAGGCTTATATTTTGATAAATATGACATTTTGATTATCCATAATTTTAAATATCAATGCTACTTCTCCTTCCATTACCATGGATAATAGAAAATTTGCTGTACACTTTAGTGATATTTCTTATTCCTGTAATTCACATTTTCATTTTATGATTTGTTGGTTGCAATAATAGTGTCTTTATAATTGACAATTTAACGTATTTAATACTGTAGCCCATTTATTACACTGTGTCAGTGTTTTTTTTGTACTCTGTTATTAGTTATTTTTATTATGCACAATTTTCTCTAAAGAGTGGATCTTCATGTATAAGGTAGATAGTTGTTCATAAAAATTCGAAATTTATGTTTTTCTAAATGAGCTGTATGGTATACTGCTAATACCAGTCATGAAAACTTTGTACATGTCAAAAGATAAAAGTTTTTGATCCTGCCATATTCATCTCTTGTGTTCACAATGTTAATGCTTTCTCTTATTAATTTTCTAAAATGTTGCCTGCTCAGAACTGTTAGGCTAACAACTCCATCTGAGGTGTCAGCACCAAAGTAATTACAACAAACAGGAACTGTCAAAATGGGATGATGAGCAAATAACTCAGTCTCATTTGTGTAGCAGATATTAGTTTTCCTCTCTATAGACACTACATATATAGTTCCTAAACATCAGCACAGAATGCTCTCAATAAAGTGACACATTCATATTTAGTTTTAAAATGAAGAGTCCTTATTACAATTTTGATCTTAAATTGTTTTGATTTTTGACACTACAGAATGATTTGCAAAGTCCTCTGCACCTTCTGCTGTCTGATGTTTGTCTGCTATGGCTGCCTATGAACTTGTATTTAGGGCTTAATTTTATGCAATGTTAAGTATTCTACAACCTCTGCTCTTTGAGCATTAAAAGGAGGCCTGCCAAAATTCAGAGTAGCTGCCAACAGAAATGTCTTTTCTGAAATTTGCTAATTATTTTTGTACCACTTCATAATGTTGTAGCTCATTGTCAGGTAATTGTCCCTAAAGTTACATGTTAAACTCTTCTGTATATTCTTTGACACTATGAAATACATATTTTGCCAATTAACTGGGTATTCAAGCCACAAAACCATTTCTTTTATTCCTGTTTTTGCTTGTAACTGTAGCATGCTCACTTTCATTAATGCATTGGTGATTTTGCTAGTTGGTATTGAGAAAGTTAACAGGTGGCACGGGAACTAAAAGTTCATATTCAGTATCACCATTCAGTCATTCATTTATTCATCATAATAAATTTATTTTTCATAATAAATGTTACTTAGACAATATTCACCAAACCAGAAAATTCGGTACTAACAAATCAGTGTTTTTATTTTTAAATCTTTATTTTTTTATTATGCAGTGTCGTTATGATCATCCTACATTTATGAACATGGAAGGAAAATTCTTTTTTAACAGTCTAAAGATATACAATGAATATGGAATATTATTAAAGGGGGCATGCGGTAGCATAGTTGGTTGAGGGGCTATGCTACAAACCGGAAGGTCGTGGGATCAAGTCCCGATAAGGTTATTGGATTTTTTTCAGTTGACCTAATCCTTCTGGCCGCAATATGGCCCTGGGGTTGACTCAGCCTCTAACAGAAATGAGTACCAGGTATTAATTAAATAATTTTCTTGGGTAGTAAAACACAGCCTGCGCACAAGGCTGACAATCTTACCGCCATCTGTGAGCCGATTTTCTACGCAGTGTGAGACCCTCAACGTCTCACAACTCTATGGGCCTTCACGGCTTCGTACAGGGATAGCTTTACTTACTTTTTATTGAATATTAAATGAAAGTGTACAGTATATAATTATAAGGGTTGAAATATACTTATATTTTTATGACAGATTCAGAGGCTACAAATAATCTGAAGAACAGGTTCTTTGAAACCATTCATATACAAATAGACTTGAAAGGATTCTGACGATGGTGTATGCTGTACAGAACTATTAGGCTTATTTTGGACTCTATCCATTATCTGGTATATAGGAGACAGAAATCCAAAAAACCTACTCAGTTGGGCCTGTTAGAAAGAGCTAGGTCCAGTGATTGAGACCAGTTCTTTCTAACAGGCCCAACTGAGTAGATTTATCCTGCCCCATCCACCTGAGGACGGAACAGATCCAGTCTCCGAAACGTTGTGGTTGTTGTCTTCTATATACCAGACGATGGATAGAGTAAAAAATAAGCATAGTAGTTCTGTAGATTCATATACAAGCTGTCAGTTCCAGCTACCACTTGAAGATTAGTACCATACTTGGTGGTTAGTGAAAATACTTAGTATTGAGTAGTCTCATATACTCAGCATGTTGGTGTAGTGGGAATGCTCTAGGCTTGTATGTGGGAGGTGTTCAGTCTGAATCTATCCAAATATGTTTTTCATAACTTCCCTCAGTCCTTTCAGGAAAGTGCTTGGATAATTCCCCAATTAGGGCACAACTTCTTTCCACATACTTTCCAATTTGTCATTCATCAGTCATTTTGCTGAGTATGTGGTAAAATAAAACAGATGTGGCCTAATAGTAAGCTCTACTGTTGAATAACTTCAGTTTCTCCAAATTTTATCTAATTAGAACCTTATAATTTGCTTTATAATGTGATTTTGTAGCATACTCATTCAAATTTTTTAAATGCGCATCCAAGTGGTCACAGTTGTTCACATGTAGTATATGAGGCAGGTGTATTTATATCATATAGAGTTCTTTTGTGTTGTATCTATCTATTTGAGAGTGGGATTCAGTTTGACAGTTGGCTGGCAAAAATATTATTTTACTGAGGTACAAATTAATAATGATGTCATGTGAAGAGTTGACAACGGTTTAAAACTATGAAGACTGCTTAAACAGTCCAGTATAATGTACAGTTTGTTTATTGGCTTGTATTTTTGTGTCACATTTCTCATCAGCAATCTTCATATTTAAGTTATATGTTCTTGCTTCAGGAAACTGTTTCCGAAGTTGTGGAAGAGAAACTGGATACAGAGGCTCCTCAAAGAGAAGAAGGGAAGTCTCCAAAATTTACCACTCCATTGCAGAAAGTTTATTCTTCTCGTGATGGAGAACTTATAAGGTAGAGTAAGATGAAATATTGTTTCTGCTTTTGCTTATTTTATTTCATTTTATTAAGTGCACTACAGCATGAGATTTTAGTGCATATTAATGCAGTGTAGCAGTTTTAATATATTAAGACACCTGAAGATGGCCATCTAAGACCACAACTTGTTGTGTTAAATTATAAGTGGAAGAAAAAGGAACAGTTTGTTGCATTATTGATGGACTGTGTTATACATAGATGTTTTAATATGGCTTGCAACAGGAAGCTTAAATACAGAATTCTGTAAGCTCTTTTATGTTATCCTCCCATGTACTCGTAGATCTAAATGTCCCATATGGCCTCTTTCCTTGAGGTTCCTGACCACAGCTTAATATACTTTTCCCATTTTCCCCATTTATACAATAATCTTGCTTATCTCACCCTTCTCAACTTCACCATCCTAGCAACATTAGGAGAAGGATAAAAAATATGAAGTTCTTTTTCATGTAATGCTCTCACGTATCCTGTTTCCTCCAATTATTTTGGTTCAGATATTTTCCTCAGCACTTTGTTTTTTAAAATAACCCCAGTCTGTTTTATCCCTTACAAAGACAACCCAAGTTCCACACCATACAAAATAATGGTAAAGTTCTGGCATTTTTAAAGGCAGCCTATGCTATAATGTTATATCTGTGCATCAGTATCAAACATACCTGCAATGTTACAGGATGGAAGTGAAGCTGGATGGTAAACCAAAGCCCAAGGTGGGATGGTATAAACAAGGGACTCAAATTGTTTCTTCCAAGGATTTTCAAATAGAAGAATATGAGGATGGTATTTCAGTACTGACAATTCCAGAAGTATTCCCTGATGATACAGGAGAAATTACATGTGTGGCAGAGAATGAATTTGGAGTTGCCAGTACTTCAACTGAGCTTGTGGTTGAAGGTATGTTGGGAATACATTCAAACTGTCCATTTCTGTAAGTAGTCATCTTCTCTTTACTGAAGACAGTACTGTGGAGAACTGTAAAGTTATATTAATGCATTGCTGGTCATCACTTTTACTGTTATTGTCTATGAATGAAAATGGCCTTTTTAAGTCAAAAGATAGTATTAATAAGATATGGAAGTTTTCATATATTTTTAGACTAACATCAAGTATCCATTTTTTCTGAACCTACAAAGCTTGATATTTATGTCTATATTTCTGTATGTAAAATTATGCATGCAGTAGTGTTGAAATATTGCAGCAAAGGGCTCATTTTTGGTTTTCGTCTCCACTCCATATATATATTAAGTTTCTTGTGCATATTCTCTGTACAGATACAATAGTGATGCTATAAATGATATTTTGTTAATATCTATCTTTTTTAAATGATGTATTTTTATGTTTCATAATCATATTCCTGCTTTTGTTTCCAGCTTTAAGTTGTGGTGTTCAGAAGATAACTTGTGTTGCTCTGCTGGTCCCACAAACCTGCCTGTCCAATTCTTCTGCTTCTTCCACAAGCAAGCAAACATTTTGCATTGCCAACATGACATATCCATCCACACAGTACCTCTCACAATCCACAGCCACTTTCATACAGCTTACAAAACATTAACTGAATATATATATATCTGTTAGGACTGATTGTCTATGTATAGGAACATTAAGCAAGGGTACAGTATACTTACTATGGACTTTATTTGATGTTTATTTGCAGGACCATAATTTGTACATGATTTAAAAAGCTGGCTTCATATTATCCTCATAATGATTTCCATCATTCTGTTGTGTTTATGTATAAGTATTAACACCCATTTATTAAGATAATATATCTTTGGACAATTCTGGTAGAAGTGATTATACAATTTTAAAGGACTTCATTTAAACTTATATCCAAAAGCCTTATATGTTATAGTTAGAGTACTGACATTTTTACATTCGAGCCAAATATAGGTTTTGCATTAAGAAAAGATGGTTACAGTTTGGGGAACTTATAATGGATTTTGATATTATAATATTTGCCTCTTATACAACAACCAGTTCTTGCTTGTTAATAGTCATCATTTATTTATTGGCAGGCATAATGGGAACTAAAGAATACCGCAAGCCTGAATGGGTGACACAAATGGAGGAGCTAAAGGAGCAGCTGCAAGGTAACAATGTTGTGACGTCCTGCATGCCAGAGCATGGTAGTAGTGACAATGATGTGATGTCTGTAGACAGCTTGGAAATGGGAAGTTCACATCATCAGCATGCCCATGTGGGTCCAACAAGGAAGAGACCCGATGTTCAAGCGGGGAGTACAACTTCCCTGGAAGATGTGTCCGTTGGAGATGATTCTGTTTTTGTGTCTAATGCCAGCTCTTGTTCTGATGAACTGAATTCCATCACTCCACTTACAGTTGTGAAGTCCAGCATGCATGCACCTGCTTCTGAAACTCCTTTCCTGCTGGACCCTCCATACTCCTCTCAGGCAGACTCCTCACCTCACCTCAGTGTTAGTTTTCATCCATCTGTAAGGATCGAATTACCAAAAAATGAAACTATCGGCAGTGTGGAGACCAGCAGTGTTAACAGTGGCTCTGACTATGCACATCTCATAATAACAGACTACTTGAACTCACACAGGCTTTCTATTACTGCTGCAATAGAATCTCTTGACACTGACGATAATGTGAAAGGTAAGTCAGATAAGAACAAGCAAACGAGTATCATAAAAAGTGCTTCACAGAACAGGACGGAGGTCACTGAAATACAAAATAATTCCAGTGGATGTCTTGAATGTGCTGAAGAAACTGTGTCAGTAGAAGGCCCAACCTTACATCTCCATGAACGCAAGGAGAAATCTGAAGAAGTGGTGGAAATTATATATGTCCCTGAAAATGAAAACGGCAACAATATTCATCCTGTGGCTAGTAGTTTCTATCTCTTATCTCCAATTGAAGAGAGCAGTGAACCTTCAGCAGAGAGTAGTTGCAGTGGTGTAGGCGTTCACAGTTTGGATAGGCATGACCATTCAGCCATAAAACTTTTGTCTGCATCATGTGAAGTCATATCTATGACAGATGACAGCATGGTTTCTCATAATTTGCAGACCAAGTACCAGACTTTTCCCCGTTCCAAGATTCCTGTTCTTAGTCCCATGCGTACAAATGCATGCTACATTGTACCTGAAGACCCCACAATGTATCCTCTGGAACCTCGTGAGCTTGATCCGGCTGGCTTCCACCAGCTTCATATGGCTGATAGTCAAGAGGAGCTTCAGGAATTCCTGCTATTGGAGAGTCAGTGCATGACTACAGATGGACAGGGATTGGCAGCTGCATTTGTATTTTCTGATGATGAGCACTTCCACAGTGATGAAGATGGTCACTGTACAGTGTCAGGTATAATAAGCATATAGTATAATCCTGCTGGGTACTGAGTCCTGGTGCTGCATCCCACATCAAAGCTAATTAATGGTAACAGTGCAGATGGCTTTGGGATTTTAAATTACTGCTTGAGTCTTATATTCTGGAAACAATTCCTGTGTTCATCAGACCAATTTGTAATAACTACACACAGGAATTCTGTTAGCAAATCTTTTCCTGACCACGACAGATTGCAGCACCATATTGCCTTCATTCCAGGTGTGCTTATTCTCCTGTCCCATAAATCTGTGCTTTTTAAACACCATTCTGGGCTTAGTTTGAATAACACATTTGGAGCTACATAAACTATAAGTAACAGTATTGTAATTGTTAAATGGTCGTAATTTGCCCTTGTTTGGTTTTAATTGTGTTATGTTTGTGAATGCCTGTAATTGGATTTTTGCAATTGTTTCAAGTAGTAACAAACTAATAGCATGTTTGCTGTTTCATGTTTCACTTAGACCACTGATCAAGAAGCTGTTTTGTGAAGCAAGCTACTTAAACAACTCTAGTCAATAGGTAGGTAACACACACAGCTTCTAAACATAAATTGTTTGATTTAAATTTGTCAAGAACTGGAAGCAATTAAACATTCAACTTGCATAAGTCAAATTTATTTTTTTTAATCTAGGTATTATACAATTTGATTTTCAATAACTGACCTTGAAGAATTCTCATCTAAATAATACCATTTTTTCTTATTATTGAGTCATTAAATAATATTAGGTAGGACACTTGTTTGCAGACAGTGAATACTGCTGAATACTGTTGGGTGTACTAATAATGTTCAGTATGGAAGATCAGAGGGGTTTTACCTGCAGTAGTGCATTTCTGTCTGCAATAATAGATTTACATCCATTCAGAATCACAGAGAATCAGTATTTATGTTGCAATAAATACAATAAATATGAGTGTAATGCATCTTTAGATGTTACTTTTTGAACACTCTGTGTAAGTTTCTTGCATCACTTGATGGCATAGGGTTTTTATGTGTTCTCTAATCTTTAAAAACATGCAGCGTTTATCAGAATCATAAAATAATATAGTAACCCCCATACAGAAGCTGTACTTAACTTTCTGTTTGATGGCAGTAATTAATGAACCACTGCATCTACAAATGTGAATTTTGGTATGTAGATAAATCATAACAATGCCTACAAATTTTATATAAAGCTTGTTGAAAAATTACAAACATTGTGACAGTGTGAAACTTATAATTATGTATTTCAGCATCCCATTGCAATTGTTCAAATTTGCGTCAATTGTTTATCTTCCATCAAAATTGCAACACTTTTACATTCTACACTTCAATACTACATGTTTCGGGCTCAAACGGCCATCTTCAGGTGTTTCTATGTTACAGATATTTTACTAAAACTGTGTTAAAAACTGCTACATTGTCTTAATTCATGTTAAAATCACACGCTGTAGTCTTCTTAAGTAAAACGAGATAAAATCCTTTAAAATTTCTGTTGCATATGACAACACCCCAGGTGAGGTGAAATAATATGCAACAGAAATTTTAGAGGATTTTATCTTGTTTTACTTAAGAAGACTACAGCGTGTAATTTTAACATGAATTAAAACAGTGTAGCAGTTTTTGACACAGTTTTAGTAAAATATCTGTAACATAAAAACTCCTGAATATGGCCGTTTGAGGCTGAAACATGTAGTGTTGAAGTGTAGAATGTAAAAGTGTTGCAATTTTGACGGAAGATAAACAGCGGATGCTAAAGTGAAACTTATAGCTGACGTCTTACAAGTTTCAGGTAGTGGGAATTCTGTGGTAGTAGATATGATGCACAAAATTAGACTGATAATGTACAAGGCTGTAGATTTTATTTAAAATATTCTGATATTTTTAGATGAATATTAAATGTAGCAAAGCCAAATATCTTCATATTACTGAGGAATGCTAAAACTCTGTCCAGAATCAAAGACAACAATTCCAATGAGATTAAAATAAGAACACTAGGCATTTGACTTGAATTAAGGCTTTCCCGACGCACCGAATGGTGGGCAGCTGTAGATGGCCTTCAGTTATTTGTTTTAAAGGCACTAAAATTAAGCAAAAACCGAACATACTTGTACCACACTTCAGTTCTTTCCTCCAATTTGCAACAGCAACATTCATTTCACTTTTTGGTCCACTACCAAGGTGCAATTAAACAAACTCCCTGGTTTGAGTCCGCAAGCGAACTATACCAACCGAGAGACCGCAGCTTGTTGGTGAAGTTAGTGCCAACTTTAGCGGATAGAAGGTGTTGCATGGTCAACACAGTGAATCCCCATGGCTGTTAATTTCGGTTTTCTAGACCAGAGCCACTATTTCCTTGAAATAGCTCCTCGTTTATCCTCGTGAGGCAGAGTGGACCTTATTCCAGACCCACTGCTTCTCAGAAAATCTAGTAGCGCCAGGAATCGAACCCAGGACCTCGGGATCTGTATCCAGGAAATCTGACCACTAGACCACAGATGTGGTCATGAAGGTGCAATTAGCAGTGTTTAAAGCAAACATAATATATCAGACAGATTTCACTGTAGTTCAGCTGGACTTTTCTAGGGATTATATTAGTGTATTATCACCCAGAACCTCCCAAATCTGCATGAAGCGTTAATGTGCAAAGAAGTATGGTGATCATTTGATTTGTTAGATTGGGTTGGAACATAAAGCTCCTTAAATGTGCTTCAAATGATCAGCAAGAAAGAAAAGTCATGTGCTTTTGTATATAATGCCATGTAGTCCAGTGAAAATCAACCAACCTTTTGGAAGAACATATTTATTTTCAAGGTCAAGTCCATGCTAGTTTCTTGCTTAGCTTACTAACCAACCCTGAAGATGGAAGCAGTGTTATTCCAAAATATTCTTTGACCTTGTATAGACTATGTGGCGTTATATCGTAGAAGATAGAAAGTTTTACAGCACCAATGACAGAACCTCAAATCCAATGATAATATCACATATCCATAAATATTCTCACAGAAATAAATACAGGTAACAATAGAAGAACTGCCATGTCTGTGTGATGGCCAGTAAACACCCCCCTCAAGAACTTGACAACAATATAAGGCGAAATTCTTTTCTGTGTGGTCCGCACCAAGCAAGTGCAAAGAACAGTAGGATGTCTATTGCCAGGTGAAAAGCTGTAAACACCTATCCTTAGCAAAAGGAGACGGTGTTTTCCATGGGTTCCATGCAGAGGAGTTATTTTGAAGACAGTCGGCTCTATCAGTCAGTCAGTTCCCGGTAGGAGATAGCCACCATAAGTTCGTAGTTGAAGAAAAACTAGAAGTCAGTCTGTTAATACTTAACGTGCGATTTGAAGACTTTATGTGTGTTGTAGTGCAATGGCATCTGGAGTGTGACAGGTATTCTTCCTGTGATAAAATTCTTTGCCAGAAAACAGATAGGGAAATCTTTTGCAGAGGAATAGCCATTGTTTAGATCTGTTACCTAGCAACAACTAGTTAAAGCATATATGGAGGACTTCATTTAGGTGTTATAATCACAGTACTCTTGAAAATATTATAATTATTTGTAGCTATGGCTAGTGAATATCCAAACCTGCATCTTTAGTCACTAATACACATGACAGTAAGCCAGAAACTGTTCAGTGAACAACTTTCTAACATGTATATGCCCTCTTGTGTAGTGCACTATATTCTAAATAAAGAACTTTCCCTTATTTGCTTGCTTTATATTCTCTCTATCCTTTCATCAAAAGAATGGGTGGATTGTTGAATGAGTATGGTGATCAGAAACCACCTGAATACATTTGGAGTTATTTAGAAACATGTATTCCATCCTTTCCTTGGAAATTGAGCATTAAATTAATAAAATTTTAACGGAGCAGATTGGTGTAGTGGTAGCACTCTAGACTTATCTTTGGGATGTGCTCAGTTCGACTCTCAGTTTGAACATCAACAATCCTGAGATTTTTCTTAGTTTTCCAGAGCTCCTCTAGGCAGGTGCTGGGATAGCACCTTGGTCCAAGACAAATTTCTTCCAAATATATTATGACATGAAAGCTGGAAAAGGCAGCCATTTCTAGGCAACAGCAACAGAAATAAGTTCTGTGGCAGTGAATCAGCATGCAACAACAGAGGCACTGCTGGAGAATAAACACACAGTAACAGAGAATCCATGAAAACAATATTTTCTTTGTGGTTCATGCCGAGACTATATACGAATAACTTGAAAAATATGAAATTTAAAGTGGGAGCTATGTACCATAGCTCATGTTCTTAGTCACTGATTTCGAACCTTGGTGGCTTGGGCTCAGTACCTGGCAAATTCATGTGGCATTTCTGTTGGACAGAGTAGCACTGGAGGTGATTTTCTCCCAGTACTTTTGTTTTGCCTGCCAACATATTTCAACCAACTGCTCAACATTCACTAAACATACTTTCTTCTGAACCTGTATTATCTCAATATCGATATTGTCATTAAATTACTGAATGATTAACTTATTTTGGCCATCAGGTTGCTTGCCCCTTCAGCAAGAGTGGAGAAGAATTCTTCATAGTAAAATGCATTTTTTTCTTCCCTTGAATTTCATGAAGTCACTTCTCTCTATAAACACACATACTGAGACCACCTTAAAATGTAATTCAAAATTGCAACTTTCTTTTTGTCAGTGTGCAGCTATCTGTTACTTAGCACAATGTTCTTGACAAAAATAATTATGTAAGATTTGAGGCTTTCATGGCGGTGACTATGAAGAAAGCAGTCTTCTGGGATTTGGCACCGTGTATACTCGTATGTTGNTATGTCACATCCGCCTAGACCTCAGTAATATGTTTATATGTTATTCTGTTAGCAAACAGTTTTATGTAGCGGTATTTATTTTAATGATTCACTTTACATTACAAGATGATTCCATCTTGAAAAACGTAATTATTCTCTGCCTACATTTCTGTAGTTTGTGTAACATCTACCTGAACATGGTCTTATAGAACTGAAATATGTTATGGAATTGATTATTTCTTATTGAAATGAAGTCTTTGTTTTGACAGTGTACAATGATCATTACAGTGTGTATTTATTTAAGTAAGTTACACAGCCATGAACACACATTATATGCATTACTCAATGCATTTTATCTAGTAACTATCCAGCTTCAGGCATTGCTAACATTAATGTTGTATGAAAATTCATGATTGTATACTAAATAAATATATTATGAAACACAGCCTTAAACTCATTAAAATATGTTTGTGTGTGTGTGTGTGTGTGTGTGTAATACAGCCTGAAGTACTATATTTATTTTACAGCTACCCAGTGTGTACCAACATTTGTTCAAGAAATTGTAGATGTCAGAGCTGTGGAACTTGAAACAGTGAAGTTTGAGTGTCAGTTCTCAGGCACTCCCAAACCTGGTAAGTATTATATTTCTTGACAGCCAACCCCCCCCACCTCAAAAACAGAGCATATCAAGGTTTCTTGAGATTAAATGCAGTTGTACCAAAGAACCAACAATGCTTCCTCAGATTCCTCACAAATGACAGCACCTGCAGATGCTATGAAAGCCCATTTTATTTTCTCTAAATGTTGGGATGTCACACCCTGGAACAGGGTCCACTGAGCCTTGTGAGGATAATTGAGGAGCTACTTGGATGGAAAAATAGCGGCTACAGTCTAGAAAACCGAGATTAATGGCTGTGGGAATCCGTTGTGCTGAACATGCGACACCCCTCTGTCCCCAAAATTTCGCACTAACTTTGCTGACAAGTGGCGGTCGCTCAGTTGGTATTGTTTCCTTGTAGACTAAAAGCCACACAGTTTTACAGAAGTATATTGGACCCTGACATAGACATAATTTCTAAACTTCCCATGATCCCTATAGTATCACTGAATATATGAATATCTTTTATTTGTGCTATGGGTTAAGAATAAACTACCAGACTTCTTGATTTAGGAAAATATATTTATTTATGTATTGAAATATTGCATAAAAAATATAAACAAATTATCGTATGTATTTTCCAGTAGGGAATTACATAATTTCTTTTCATTTTCAGACATCGTTTGGTATCGTAATGATAAGGCAATACGAAATACCAAAAATGTACAAATTAGAATAAAGGACAATAAGACTTCATGTACCATCTTGAAAGTGACCACTGAAGATAAGGGAACATATGTCTGTAAGGCAAACAGTGAAATTGGAACGGCAGTAACCAAAGCAAAGCTTGAAGTGAAAGGTAACTGTTTATTTAAAAAAACCTGAAAGTGTACATCATTCTGCTTATGTCTATATAAAATGTTGCTTTTTGTACTTTTAATGATTACATTTTAAGTTTATGTTACAGAACTGCCAGAGGAACAGAAGAGAGAACATGAAATTCAACAAGCCCGTGAAGAAAAAGAGAAGATTAAATTGGAAAAAGCAATGATTGAAAAGAAAAGGGAAGAGAGGCGTAAGAAGAAGGGGGTTTATTCTTATGAGTCAGGAAGGTAGTGTGCGGTTATTGTCTGAAATTCTCTCTACATGTTATTGATGAATTGCAGTAAATTTGAATATTGTTGTGATTGGTTTGTTCATTGAGAATTGCTGTTTGTGAATTTTAGTAAAAAAATTGATTTTAAGAAGAAGAGAGTGTATTAATATGTGCTGGTTTTATGTTCAAGACAGACTAAGAACATAAATATATTAAAATTATTTCTGAAATTTCCCAGATTTGAGAAGAATGTCGTTTCATGTCCACCATTTTCAACCTGAAAACCTAAATCAAAATTTTTACTGCTACATAATATTTTTGTCTCCTTTCCTCATTGAAGATGCCAGAAATATATAGAATTTAATGAACAATGGACTTTAACTGACTTGCTTAAAAATTTTCAGGGAAACTGCAGATGTTCAGGAAGTTCAGGTACTAGAATCCACTACACAGATTGCTGAAACAACTGAGAAGGTAAAGCTAATATTTATTTATTTATTTACACCTAATGATCATTATCCTTGATTGATATGAAGCTAACTTGGTTCTCATATTACTGGCAGGTTCAGGCAGAGAGGGTGTTGTCTGTTCAAGAATCTGTTTCTGTGTCAGCAATAGCTTCCTGCAAGAAAATTGATGATGAGACAACTGAGAATTTAGAAAAACCACAAGAGAAAGCAAAACAAATTATGCCTGTCCAAGAGCCTCTAACAGTATCTGAAACAAAACCAGAGGATGTGCTTGAAGATTTTAGATCTGAAATATCAAAACCCCAGGAAGTTGCAACAAGAACAGTTCCAGTCCAACAGCCGGTCACTGTGTCTGAAGTGCATGATGCAGTGCAGGCTAGAGAGCTTGTACGGAAGAAAGTAGAAGAGAAGGCTATGAAGGAGACTGTGTCAGTACAGGAGTCAGTGATTGTGTCCCAAGTCACATCTGAATCCACTATTGAAGAACTGAAGGAGAAACAAACAGAAGAAAAGGCAATTAGGAAGATACCCAGACAGAAATCTGTTACAGTGTCAGAGGTTCAATCTGAATCAACAGTAGAGGAATTGAAGCAAGACAAACCTATTGAAAAAGCACAGAGAGTGATTCCTGTTCAGGAATCAGTCATTGTTTCAGATATTCAATCTGAAGCAACTGTGAAGGAGCTGCAAGAAAAGAAACCAAAGACAAGGCATGCTAAACCAGAAAAGAAACCTGCAGTGAAAGAAACTGCAGTTGTAACTGAAGTAAAATCTTTGACTGCGGAAGAAATCTTAGAGGTAGAAGAAACCAAAATGGCCACTGAAGTGGAAGAGCTCTTGAAATTTGTGAGAGCCAAGGAATTTGGTCCAGGAGAATCTCCTCTACGTGAGTTAGCACAGATTGGATTCCTGGTGAGGCAAGGTGTGTCAGTCAATGAAATTACAACTCTGTACGAAGCTGACCGGTTCCCTGCCTTACGCACTCCCGAAGCACAGTCAGCTATGGTTCAGGTGGTGGAACGTGAAGGACAAGGTGCGCTCATCTCCCAAGTTCTTACTGAAGAGTCTACTGCTGATGAAGATCTTGTAGCTTCTACCGTTGGGTTCCGAGCATTTATGCGTATGGTGGAGATGAGACATGCTGCAGTGGAGGAGGTTATTACGCACTTTGCTCCTGAAGATTTCAGACCTGATGCATGGGAGACTTCTGAAGCAACTCAGGTGAGTTATGAACTAGATACTGACCTTCAACAATGATATTTAATTTTGGCACAATCTTGAAGTTCACTCCTTTTGTTTTTTAACCTTTAGCATCCTAAATTACTCCACTGCTGTACTCTTAAAAGTATGTTCCCAGTGCCCAGTATACTCTGCAGCATCACACTGCATTCATAATGTGTCTTCATGATTCAACAAAATTTCAGAGCTGCTGTCTCTGTCGGTCACATGTGTGGTTCATGGCTCACATGGTATAATTGTGTTACTATATCAGGAATATAAAGTTTCTGAAGTGCTTGCAAGTGGTCTGACAGAAAACAAAACCCATGCAAAATACTTGCTTCTGAATGAGAAGGAGGTCAAGGAAATCTCATATGTGACTGCTCTGTATCTTGGGCATACTTGTAGTTACATTTTCGGGTAGAAAGAAATAAGATTCCTATAACAACAGCTCATTCAATTCTTTATTACTGAATTCTGATTGTTACATTATGTAATGCAGACTTCATACCAAGATTCCTGTGTTTGCGTGTTACTTGTATTTTAGTGGCATGAGGTTCGGGACAAATAGGGATGGTTTACGTAAAAGATGTGTTGGGGTTTTCCACTTCTTTCCTGACAGACTGTCTGGCTTGTGAACTCAAATCAACAAGGACTCAAGTCCACTAAGCATTTTCTTGCTGTTTTTGCAGCAGCTCTTTAACTAGTCAATCATATACTATCACCAATATTTATACATCCATGATAAAGGCCTTTGACAGCAATTTGACTCAGTTATGCTTCATTTTGTCATAATCTTAGAGATGGAACCAGAGTTACCAGAATTCCAGAAGGAATACTGTTAAACTGTAGAACAGTTTCGCCAGTGTATATATTGTTATCCTCATGGTATTGAGATCGTACAGTCTGGTAGGCATATATCAATGTTTCAGAAGAATACACTGCCTACATATTCAAGGTAGAAGCAAGCAAAGTTGGGAATTTGACAGATTATAGAGATGCAGGAGGAAAGGAAAAGAGTCATGTTTGCTATGAGTATTTGTCTCATTTTTGGACTGGTGATGGACATGATGCCCATGAATGTAAAACCTTAATTTATGAGGACTACAACAGAATATATGTTTTGTAAGAAGGCCACAGAACTGCAAACATCTGCTTTATAAGCAGTGATGCTGTGGCAAAAGTAAACTTCTTGGAAGCCAGTAGGTAATATTATTAGCCATGAAGAGGAAATCAGTTGTGATGTTGTATCTGTTTCATTCAAACACAAAATAAGCATATACCTAACTTGATGTGAAAAAGGGCGATGATATCTTGCGTGCTGTATACCTTGGTGTAAGACAACCATAGGATTCACATGGCAGAGAGGTGAATGAAAGATGCACCTGTTAATTTGATTCTTTATGTCGGTCTCATACAAGAGTTTCTACCATATGCTGAAATATAGAAGTGATGTTTTACCCAAGTCATCATCAGCATTTTATTCACCTTAAGATAATTTTTATTTTATATTTTTATCATTGATGACTTTGTAGAACTGCACATTTTTAGAAAAGGGAACACAGCTTTATCTGAATGCTGTCACTTGTTTCATTCTGCGAACTAGTTTGGAGAAAATTTAAGTCTGGTATGATGAAGTTTAAACAAGCCTGCTTGATCAGTATTTGGTGTCCATCCTCATTTTGTACCAGAAGACGGACAGATTGAGCCTTCAAAGTGCTTTAGGCTTAATGTTAACTGCAGACAATGGTTAGTGTGCAGGGTATATCCTTGTCATAATACCACAACATTTCCAACAAGAATTGCATTATATTTTCTTTATTAACTGTTTAAATTAAAGGTAAAATAAAGTATCTCATTTTCAGCACATTTATCTCCCTCAGTAATATAAATGTTTTCATTAATCAGGGCTTTCACTAAATCAGTCAGTGCTCATTAAAATTAGTCAACAACTTTTGATAGTACTGATTTGAACATCATTTGCGTCAGTGGTATTTAATGCAGCCAGATTTTCATATTGAAGATAATGAGACCAGGTTTAAGGTGTCTTTTAAGATTGCCAGCCATCATATGTATACTTCTTATTGATTCTGACTCCATAACTTGAAAAAGAAACAGTTAAATGTTGGTATTAATTTTCTGAAAGTTAACAATCTCTTTATTTTTTAATTTTATATGCACGAGAAGTTGAATTGGCAAAATGTGATGTTACACTGGGACAGTTCATTGGCCATTGTTATTGCAATAAAATTGATAAAGAATGGGAGAGACATTTAGCATATGGGGAAAAAAATGAAATTTTAGTGAGGAAACTTTTGTAAATCATCAGCTTTATAAACCATGAAGAAAACAGGAGCATAACATAAAGCCTCATTTTAGATAATTAGGTTATGAGAATGTGAACTGGATTGAAGTGAATATTTCAATATGGATGAATTTGACATTAGCAGGTTTATGTATTTATTTTTATAGAGAGATAATTTGTCTCTCCATAACGGTTTGTTCTATATTTTTAAATATTTCATTTCATTTTGTTTATTTTCCATAGATCCATACAGTATATAACCAGGATGTGGAAATGGTCCTTAAAATATATATCAAAATAATCTTCAAAATATGTATACAAAATTGTATGGGTCCATTATTTGCAACAATAGATTAACATCAATTTTGCAGGTTGCAGATAGGAAAACTTATTACATCATAAAATCGCATATAATAATAATAATTTGATTCAATTCAATTCTTTATTATTAATGTGCCGAGTCAACAGCCGCAAGGCCAATTATAGACACAGCACAGTGCAGATGAATGAATTACATTATAGACAAACTTATTAAAAGTCAAATACAAATTACAGTTAAGTACTTGGAAGAAATAATAATGAATAAAAGTAAAAGTAAACAAACAAATAGCTGATAATTATGACAGTAATAATAATTTCATTATCATTAAACTAAGTGTTATTACAAATTGAGGAATGAAACATAAATATTTAATTAAGAAATGAATAGTATAGATTTTCAGAGGATAATAATAATATACGTAATTCATTTTATTTTACTGGACATGCAAATAATAAAATTACTAACAGTTATACCATATTTAAAATTTGTTTGGGTAGAACATTCCTGGCTCAATAATAATAATAATAACAATAATAATAATAAATTAAATTAAATTAATTTAAAACATGAGTTAAATAACTTACTATAAAAACATAGTCACAATTTCATGTAATCACTTAAATTACCAATTAGGTGTCTTCCAGCGTCACACATTTATAACCAGTTCTATGTTAAATGTTCATACAAGCTATAGAGGTGTAACAGCCCCTTCAATACATGTTTAAAACTGTACCATCAGCAGCCATCTTTGTTATGATTATCAATTAATGACAAACAGATCTGGGTTGTTAAAATTTTGATTCTAAATTTGTAGATCACATTAATAAGATTAAATAAAATATGAGCCATAATAATTTTAGATAGGACAACTGCAAAGATAATTTGAAAATATATTACAAATAATTACTGATTATTACTGAGCTGGCTCTGTTGTAATCTACATATTATGACCAATTATGCTGATAGTATTCCTTCATATGGTAAAAAGAGTAATAAAATAAAAATCTCCTCAGTGCTGCTTTGAAGTTTAACAGATAAGAAGCCAACATTTTTATTACTTGAGGTAGATGATTAAAGGCTTTAATGCCTGCTACATATGCACCTTTCCTGTATTTTGATAGATTGACAGTAGGTAAGTAAAGATTATTTAGGGATCTAGTTTTATATTTGTGAATCTCATTAATGGAATTGAAAAGATGTTTATTATTAATTGTAAATAAAATTAGTGCGTATATGAACTGAGAATGAAACATCATTATCTCCAGGTTCTGGAATAAGACTCACTTGGACCAGAATTCATAATAATTCTAATAGCCCCCTTTTACAGTATAAAAACACTGTTAGCGCAGGAAAAGCCTCCCCAAAAAATTATACCATAGTTCAAGATAGAATGAATGTGGGCAAAATAAATTAACTTTAATGTTTCTGGAGGAATTAAGTATTTTATATTTCTCAGTGCGTGACATGCACTGGAAATTTTATTGATAACATAATCAATATGCTGTTTCCATATGAGAGTATCATCAATGATTAAGCCTAAAAATGTCGTATCTGTCATATTTTTGGTTAAATTAGTCTGATCATAAGTAATTTGTGTGGTAATATTGCTCGTATAATGATTCATGGAACAAAAATCAACATATTGAGATTTATTAAAATTAAAAGTGAGCAAATTAGCATTAAACCATGAATTAATATCTTTAAAAGGTGAATAACGTTCATATCAAAGTCTAATTTTTTCATGCCTCTTACTATAATACTGGTGTCCTCTGCAAATAATACCATGTTATTATTTTTATTAATTAATTTTGGTATGTCATTTATATAAAACAGAGAAAACAGCGGGCCAAGGATTGAGCCTTGAGGAACACCACATCTGATTAATTCCCAATCAGAAAAGTTGCTATAATCAGTTCTGCTCCCTATTACAACTCTTTGATTCAAGTAAGATTCAATGAGTGATTTAAATTCTCCATCTATTCCATAGAATATTAATTTTTCCAATAATGATTTGTGATTAACACAATCAAATGCTTTCTGTAAATCACAGAAAATGCCTCCCACCAATAGTTTGTTATTCATCGCAGATAAGATGCTATCAATCAATAAAAAGGCTGCTTTCTCAGTCAAAGAATGTGATCTAAAACCATACTGTTCTTGAACCAGTAAATTATTTGTGTCAATATGTGTAATAAGTCTAGCATACCTAAGTTTTTCAGTTATCATAGAAAAAGAAGTTACAAGGAATATAGGCCTATAGTTAGATACATCATGAGTTTTCCCTTTTTAAAATAGTGGTCTGACTATGGCAAATTTCAATCTATCAGGGAAGACACCAGTGTTAAGTATTGCATTACAAATATGAGTAAATGGGGAAATTATAAATGGAAGGCTTAGTTTTAATATTTTATTGGAGATTTCATCGTATCCACTTGAATTTTTAGTCTTTAGTGTCTTAATAATTTTTGCGATTTCCTGAGTGAAGGAGTACTGCCATTTCATCTTGGTAAAAGGTCCGTTAAATGAATCTGCTAAGTGATCAGTTGGAGTAGATAGCTTCAGATTTGTATATATGTTATTATTTGAAATAATAGAATCAGCTATAGATAAAAAGTACCTGTTGAAAACATTTGCAATTTTGTTCCGATTCCTTATTAATTTCTTATCTACAAAAATAGAATGAATACCTTTTTCCTTTTTTGATATCCCTTTATCCTCATTTATTATTTCCCAGATACTTTTCATTTTATTATTGGAATTGAAAATAATTTTATTATAATATGATTTCTTTGCCACTATGATCACTCTTGATAATACTTTGCAGTATTGATTATAGTATATTTTAAGATCTAAATCATCACAGTGCCTGCTTTGCAAAAATAGTTCTCTTTTTCTTTTACATGAAATCATTATCCCTCTAGTAATCTAATTGTTATTAATCGTATTATGCTTGACTTTTTCTTTGGAAAGCAAGCATAAAAATATCTTAAATACATATTGTGAAAGTTGTTGAACATAACATTGACATTATTATTCCTGAAGATGTTGTTCCATTGTTCCCAACTTAGTAAATTTTTAAATTCCTCAATATTATTCTTATTGATATCTCTAACAAAAATAGGTCCAAAAACATTATTGGAGACAGTAATACTCTTAAATGACGTAAGCTGAGCATCATGATCAGATAGACCATTAATACATGGCTTAATGCTATAGCTTCGTCTGTTATCAATAAATATATTATCTGTTAATGTAGCTGAATTATTAGTAATTCTTGTGGGAAATTGAACCGTATCTATAAGGTTGTAGGTATTTAATAAGGTATATAGTTTGATTTCCTGTTATTATTTTCCAAGTAATTGATATTTATATCCCCACATATTATAAATTCTGAGTTATATTTGAGGAGAGAATTTAGTACACAATCCAGTTTAAGAAGAAATCATAAACACCTAATGGGGATCTATATATACAAAGGACAATTATCTTTCCCTCGTTTAGTTGTGCTTTAATAGCAGTGATTTCATATCACGTTCCTTGCGATATTTTTGTAGGTTTAAAGGAATGAAATTTAGATCCTCTTGGACGAATATGCAAACACCACCATTTTTAAATTTCTTCCTGCAATAACCAGAACCAAATTTGTATTTAGGAATATGCATGACATCCATTTCCTGGACATTTAGGTGATGTTCTGATAGACAAATTATACTAGGTTCATCATTTAGTAGAGAAATCATTAACTCGTTAATTTTACCTTTTATACCCCTTATATTTTGATGAAATATCTTGAATTATCTAGTTATGTCATCACTCCTATTACACTTATTCCCTGAATACTTTGGTCTTTTTGAATTTGCATCTACCATAAAAATCCTTACTTCTTGAAATTTAGTAACTCTGCTGGTATGAAAACTTACTTTTATCACTTCATTTACCAATCCTCACACAGAGGTGACCAGTTTAGACCAGGTAACATAAGTAGAATTTGGATTTGGGCTCTGTTGATGCGATGTTAAGCAAACATTATTTATTATTTTTTTGCTTGCTTGGGCCACTGATTATTTCATTTCTATGAAGAAGGTTTGCTATAGTATGTTTGTAATGAAGAGATACAAGCAGTGATTTGAATCTTAATAGTGTGCATCATGTATGTCATAAATAAGATATATAAAAGTGTATATGGTATGCAGTCTACACAACAATATTCTGTATTTAAAAACAAAGAAGATACTACTGTATCAACCTTTGCTTTTATTATGTTTTTACAGACGCAATATGTTTCAACCCTTACACTGGGTCATCATCAGTCATAAATACAGTGATTTGAATGATTGTATTTTTCTGAAACAGTGGACAGATGTGATGATCTAACTGTTTTTCTTATCAATAGACAAGATTTATATATATTTTCTTCATTTATCATATTAATTAAGGTATCATACAGATTATACATTCATTTCTTACAATTAAACCACCACTTCAATTACATTCAGTCTTGTAGGCAAGAATATGCTTCTGCGTGTTAAATTTCAAAACCATAACTGGACTGTGTAGTTGCAATTTTATGTTCAGACTTTATTTCTGTATTAATTTTAATAGAAGTGTATTTGACAGGTTGTCACCAAAGATTCAACAGCTGAGAGAGTGGAATTTACAGAACAAAGAGAAGTGCATTTTCAAGGTACGAATTGATTGGGAATATGATGAATTTCTTCCCTGTTATTGACTAATATGTAATTAATTTATTAATGTTGCTAAGTATTACAAATTTATCCAATATCTTAAATGAAAATTACCACATACCACACTGTGGGTGCTTGTGAACAGTAGTACAGAGATTAACGAAGATGTACTAATGCTCTTGTGGTAAGACAATAGAAGTAGATAAGTGGTTTTGCAAATGTAGACATTATTTTTAAAATTTACAGAATGATGCATTGTAATTGTTATTTTCATGGTTGTTTGTACATTAACTCTCTTTTGAAACTTAAGCCATTGTTTGATTTGTTTACCTAACTTTATAGTTTTTGAAGTATTTGTATTATAATTGTATACACTAATATAATGGCAGAATGGCAGATCCTGTATAATAACTGAAGTTATTATGCGAACTTTATCTACCGAAGAGCACTGTAATGGTTAGCGATTCTCTACATTGTGTGTTCAGTTTGGTTATTGGTTAGTTTGTTATTTTAAATGACAATTTTTGTGTATTATTACAACTTAATATAACAATGTGAATGCTAGCTTTCATATTAGCATGAAATGATTGAACACTTTCTGACCCATTATTCACATGCACAAATATGTTCATTTGCTTAAATTGGCATCTGATACCTCTTCCCATCGTAACTCTGAACCCATCTAATGATAAGTTACCCACAGTGGAAGTATTTTGTTTATTTTGTATGTGATAATCCATAACATTATGAATTATGTGATGTTAATAAGGACATAATCATAAATGTCAGGTTTGTTTTTGTTTTAACAGCAGGAGTGGAACCTGATGTTGGACTCATGTACATGTTCCTACCCCACTTCAAGAAGTGTGTGTTGTCCCAGTGGATCACATTACTAATACTGTGTGTGCTAGTTCTGAGACTGTTTCTTTGGCTACTAGCATTCGAATTTGCCAACAGACTTCTAACATAAGCTCACAAAACCATTCCAATCAGTTGTGATAAGCATTTGTACTCAACTTTAAGTCATGTAATATTGTCTGACATTCCAAACCTGTACATCCAATGATACCATTTTTTTGAATGCAAGGTTCCATTTTAATTATTCAGTCCTCCAGCGATGTCTTCACAACATTAGATCTTGATATTGCTAGTCTTACATTGAAGTTACCATAACAGTTATGGATTGATGATCAGATTGTTTTTTATTTCTGTCCTAACAAATCTCTTGTTGCTAGAAAATCTGTATGATTGCATTTGGTCAGTATAGTAGATACTTTTGATTGTACTGCAGAAATACAAGTATAAATTGAACATATTCCACAATATTTAAGATTTACAGAATACTAGTAATCCAAGAAGTAGCTGTTGAATGCTCATATCAAAATGCCAAGGTGAAAGAAATTTTTGCCCTTAATGCTTGTACGTCACAGTTGTTCTTGGACATGTGAGGTATTAATCTTAACTTTCTGCCTTTTAGTTTTTTATTGTCTCGTCAGATAATATTTAACATGTTCAATGTCCATATCTTGCAATAGCTGTAATAATAGTTCTGACAATTTAACTTTGAAAACGTTTTATGAGAGAACCTAATAACATAGCAAAGAAAAGCAAGAACATTTACCAGAGAGTTAGTTTGTTTTGAAAGCTGACAAAGGAGAAGAATAAAAAGACAATTTGGCCACACATCTTCTCATTAGAGTCACAGTGTCTCAGTGTGAATCATGTAGTAGGTATTGTTTCTTGTCATTATTTCAACAAGTTTTTGTTCTGAAATGAGTCACTGCCTTCTTCAACTCACTAAGTTTCTTAACTTCATAAAATAGATTTTAACCTTTAAACGCCGGACTTCGAAATAGTGGTAAGCTTGAGCTGGCCGGAGTTTATTTAAATGCCCGCTGTTGGTGCGCGTTTAAATGCCCGTTGCTACTCTGTGTTTAAATGTCCGTTCCTATTACGCGCTTAATCATTTTTAAGCGTTGTGTTTAAAAATGCTGTATCTTGCTTAATTTTTATGATAAATGGATGGTATTAACTTTGTTTATATCAGCAAAGAACATAGTGTTGCATATTATAACGGAAGATTTGAAAATTTTAATACAAAGTGTTATACTCTATTTTCAATTTTTTTGTTTTAATTTTGATGCGTACTGCAAAAATAGTTTCCCAGTTTTTCACAGAGTTATTCTGCATTATAAATTCATTTCTGTTTGTAACACTTGACGAATTTTAGCAGTCCCTGGTGTCATAAAACAGATGGAAGCAATAAAATCATTTGGTCTTCTGCTAGCCCTGCTTACACTCTTCGGATTTTCGAATCTTTTGACTGATGGACAGAAGAATGAAAGCATGGCTATTCAAGAGAAAGCTAGAGGGGTCCCTTCTTCAGTGCTAAGATCTTCCGTTAGCGCTGCAAATTTTATTGCCCCTTCTATTTGAATGAGCAGACAGCTGCATCGTGGCTAAGATACAGAGTGCGATCTGTTTTCTGTGCATTCGTAGTGAAATCAAATACTGTAGTATAATTTCAGCCTATATATACATCAAGCAGGTAATAACAAAAAAGGTATGTACATCGAATTTTACAATATATTTTTAACATACCTATCTGCAGAATCTGCAATAAAATTACTGGATCGTGGATAAGTTTTGGCATAACTCATATGTATTGTTTATTTGCTGTTGCTAATTTAGGTATCAATTTAATTCCTCTATTAGGGTTTTACTCAAGTCTGTCTGGTAATTAATACATTTAAAAATAAATAGTTAGGACTGTTCATGTGCTTCCACTAGTGGCGTGTGCGCGTGATTCCACTAGCGGAGTTTAAATGCCTGACTGGCACAAACGGGGCACTTTGGCCATGACGACCTTACTCATGACTGGCACAAACGGGGCACTTCGGCACTTAAAGGTTAATAGATTCAGATCAGTGGTTAAAAAAAATCTGTATTCAAAACTCTCAGAGCTGTGGAACAAATAAGTCAGGGGAGTTAATTCAGAAAGCAAATATGTTCATTGATAACTGTTATGCTCCCAAATGAATATTTGCATTGTTGGCCTGAGCAAACCAATTGGTCACATCACAGTTGAACATTGAAATTAGGATATTTGTTGAATTTTCTAAAATTTTTTCTAATTGCATTGTTAATTACTTTGCATTCAATAAAATGTTAATTATATGTATCATAATAGTTTACATATATTTGTACAAGTGTGCAGTTCATGTAATTACCATGTATATTTTTTATACTTTTGAATGAAAATAACATAATTTTAGATTTTGTGTTCTAATACTAATGAGTTGATGTAATAATTTTTGTTATCCTTGTGCATGTGCTTCATTTGGGTGTTTTAGTTTTCTAGTATCATGGGCCAAAAAGAGAGGTGGAATCATACAAGCCGAAGAACTGGTTAAAGAAAATTGTTACAAGAAACTTCTGCAGTAGTAAATAAAGAACGCAGTAACACTATACATAGATTTCCATAGTTTTGAGACAAAGAATGAAAAATGTTCTTTCCTTGCAAACAGGATTGCATTATTTCTGAATTTATAGACCATAAATATGAGGTAAGAAACTGCATAGGTAGTTCTGTAAAAAATATGGATGATTGAATTATGCAATGTTATTTGCATGAAAGAGATACTGCACCTGAATATGTGATGTATACAGCATGAAAGGTAATGTACTAAAAGCAGATAAATTGTAGTTCCACCAATCTTATATTTATAATAAAAACTCAAGACTTATTTTATCTGTAAATTAACAAAGGGGTGTATTCTACTAGCGAGAAATATAAATTTAGTTAAGGGAGAAATATTGTTGGCACCATTCTAGTAAGTTATAGCTGAAGTCACGTCATAACTGAGCTTGGAAAGAGACTTTTTATTTTAATTTAATTTGGCAGACCTATAGATATTGGACATTCAATTTAGAGTTCTGGCAGTATAAGTGCTATCATTTTACTTCACTTATTGCAGAAGTGAATTTAATGTAAACAGTACTGTTATGTCACTCTTTGTACTTGTATGTGGACTAACACATGAATATTAATATGAATTAGACAGATGTGATAGTATTTCTTGTAGATGTTACATTTTTGTGAATGTCATGCAGCTAGTATAAAGCTTACTGTGCTATGTAAATAGTTGAAAAATATATGTGTTTCTGTCATGATTATATTAACTCTTATTGAAATTTAGTTCCTATGCTCGTGTCCACTGAGAAGCTTTGTGCCAAGGCACTATTGTCTACACCTAATGGACTTAACATATTTTGAATAACCAGTCTGAGGAAGGAATTATATAGCTGGAAAATATGAAGAAACAATATAATGTATTGGTAGGAAGCACAAGAGAATGATTCATATGAGTTAGTGTATGAGGAATATGATGGGAGTTGGTGCTCAAGGTTGGTGTTGGAGGGACAGCTTTATGGACATATGGGTGTGAGATGAGATTTTGCTCATAATTTGAAATTATGTTTTAGTTTTTTAAGATCTATGTGCTTTTAAAGAAATTGCATTTATGACGTCTCTTATTACTAAGAAGAATTGTTGTATTATCTCTGTTAAATAATGAGCAAACACTAAGAGATGTTCTTTAAATTCAAACGAATTAGTTTGGAATTGTCACTTTTGAAGAAAAGGAACACACATCTCTTTAAAAGTAGCAGTAAATTTAAAGCACAAAAAATGATTGGTAACTTCCATAAGAGTTAATGCTACAATTCCATGTTCTCTAGAAGTCCTCAGAAAAACTACAGGAAATTTCTTGACATTTTTAACTCTCTAAGGGCTGCGTTCATTGTAATAATTTCTACAGAATCGTGCTCTCAGCCAGACTGTTACACATGTTTTTAGCCTGTTTTGTTTATTTTGATTTTTTATATTATATATCCTATTTATACAAATGGCTAGCTTTGTAGCAGCACTTTATATAGATAAATGCACTATTTTATAGTGGCTGATTTCAAAAGAAGCAGAAGAAATATACCTTACATATTAAAATGTTAAAGATAATTCATTGTACTCATCTCATGACAGGCACATTGCAGAAAAAACATACAGACCATACCATTTCATTTAGTGAGACCAGTCCTTGGAAAGAAATATGAAGCTGTCAGTAGCCACAAGGGTTTGTGTTGGGGGTTGAGGGGTAGGCGATTGGAGATTGGTGTATATTCTGAATTGAGAGCTGAAGGAGAAAATGGTTTAGAGAGAAGAATATGGCAGTCAGTAGGGGCTGATTCTAGGCACCGCATTCCAACCTAGTGTGTGAGCTGTGGCAGTTACTAGTACCACACACATTATTTTCGTGGACCTCTCTATTTATTCTCAACACTTTCTCTAACACAGTTTCCAGAGGATGTTACATGCGACAGTAACAATTCATAATTAGATTTCTTTTTTTATTATATTTTTAGTATTTGTCATGAGTCACAGTTGGTCGTTTTGGAAGTATACTTTAATACAGAAATATGGTATTGGTTTAAGAAATTACTGTGCAGTCTTATTATATTCAACATTTAAAATATTTGTTAACTTTTTGAATTAAATGAATCAAATTCCAAAATTTTAACAAAAGGACTCTCAACAATGATTTAACACCACTTTGTGATCACAGATATATTACATCTGCAAATCTTTGGCCACATTTGCATTCATGTGGAGGGCATTTTAAAATTCCTCCTCCTGCCTGCATTCTAGAAGGAACTCAAAAACCATTGAACAGGTTTTCATGAAATTATATTTTGGAGGGGGGGAGGAGGCTTGCTAAACTGTCAGTATAGTCCACTCATAGTTAAATCAGGCAACGTAATGGACACATTACATGAAGACCTACTTGCATTTTTACATGTATCTTGGATATAACTTACTGTTGAATATTCAGTATTGAAATTTGCGCAAAGGGGAGGCAACTTCCAGTCACCCAAAGCACCGAGATCAATACTGGAACCTTGTATGCCCTTAGTGTTGTTTGAGCTCTTTAAGAACAAAAACTGTGCTGATTGAGATCTTTTGTCCATGTGGATTCAGAAGTCACATATCTGTGCCCAACTTAAGTCAGCCATTAACATAATGGCCTATTGGACTGCTTGCAGTGGGGTATCTGAGCAGCCCTTTGCCATTCACCAGATGAGCCCCAGTTTCTTTTCAAGAGGTTTTCTTTTCCTGGCCAGCGTCTACTGATCAGGCTGCTTCTGCTTCTTGATGGATGTGCTGCTCACTCCTATCAAGGGACCTGTTTCGGTCCTACTCTCATGGCCCACTCATCAGAGACCTGAGAGAAGATGGCTGCTTCTTCTGAGCACCTGAGTGACCAACAGGTGGACCCTCCCTTACCAGTGAAAAATCTTACCTTGGATTACTGATGGTGGGACATCTAGGATTATGCACTCTCTTTTATCAGTGGGGTATCAGAGGTCCCAATGCTGATCACGGCTGTATCACATCAAAGTTCCAGCCAAGGACACAGGCCCATTTCTTTGCTAGACCAATTCTCCTTCGTAGTAGTCAGGTTACTCACTCCTCTCAAGAGACGTAGGGCTCGCCCTTAATGGACCCCTCATCAGATCCCACATGAGAATCTGACTGTCTCTCCACATAAGCAAAAGAGCCCTTCAGAGCAGGGCCAGATAGCGAACTCCCAGAGCACTGATGGCAGGGATCCTGCAGCCACCCTCTGTCTTTGTGCAGCAGACAGCTCACCTGATTCCAGCTAGACTCATAAGCAAATCACAGCCCCTAAGAGGGGAATCCTCCCACCAGCCTGTTTCCTCTGCTAGTCTGTACAGATTACTCACCCCCGCAAAAGATCCCTTTCAGTCTCTCACCCAGTGAGCCTCAGAGATTTTTACTGCCTCTTCACTGCAGTAGAAGAGCAGAATGCAGAAAGAGAATCCCCCATCCCTTCACTGACATCAGGGAGACTTCAGTCACCCCTGCTATGTGCTCCAGGGATAGCAGAGCACACACCACTGGTCTTGGCCGGACCTTGGCTCCTGAGAGGACCCTTGCATCCTGTTCCAGGCTTTCCTGTTCTTCCTGATGGTCAGATTACCAACTTCCATCTAGAGGCCTCTTTCAGTCTTCGCCTCTATGGACCACCTATCATAGCTCCTAAGAGATCAAGTCATTCCCATTGCAGCAAGTGAACCATCTGATGCAGGAGGAGTTCTGTAAGAGCAGGAGACTACATAAGTGGTCCCTCTGATGCAGAGGGAAGTTTCTTCTCTGGAATAGCAACAATGGGGAAACTTCAGCGAACCTCTGTCATTTGCCAGCAAGGTCAGAAGAGCTTAATCACTGTCTTAGCAGACTAAGCTAAAGCTGAGCCTGTAGTTCCTTTAGGAGAGCATTTGCTTTCTTGGCCATTTCTTCTGCCAGCCAGTCCAGTTCTCCTGAATGTACAGGTTGTTTGTTCTAAGAGCAAGCCTCGCCTTTAATGAAACTCTTGTTAGAACTTAACAAGGTTTTGGCTGCTGGAAAGGAAAATTAGTTACCCCCAATTTTATGGTGTTTCAGATAATTAAACATGCAGGAGTGAATGTGGCAGAATTGTTATGCTATGCTTAGCTTGTTAAAAGTAGATATGTATACAAACTTCAATGAAAATGCACAGCATTTCTCAGTGTGTTAGTGACAGGATTCTGAACAAGAGGTTTAATTTTTAGTTAATCTCTTAATTGGAACCTCCTCACCCAGTAAGTATGTTATAAGTTTTGAGGTTTTCAAGGTGGTGATTGCTGAAATTGTGGTCATATAAGATACTCAAATATGTTTAGTTCTTATTGTTATGCCTTTCAGTTAATGAGCGATGTCACAGTAAAATGGCACACATTTCGTTGTACAACCTATATATTAAATTTAAATCATGATAAACAAACGCAGATGCACAAACATAACTCCTTCAATCTGGTATGTTTGTATGTCTGTATATGTATCTTATGAAAGATATCCCTTTCTTTTCAGCAGTCTTTGAACCATCCTAGTTATTGTATGTCCTGGTTGATGTATGTTGGCCTGATTTGGAAACTGTTTCAAAATTGCCCCACTTCATGGAATAAGTGTTGTATGGCATATAAAAAGTTGTTTTGTGTCTGTCTAATATCTAAAGTGGCTGAACTGAGTGCAAACAACAGAGGGAGATCAGAGTTTAGTAAAATGGTGCTTGATCAAAGACTTTTGGTGTAGACAGAAAGTAATTTTGGTTTCTCAGCCGTTGAAGATTTTTTATTATGATATATATATTATATTGTATTATTAATGGCAGGAAAACAGTAATGATCATATGATGGGTAGAATTAATGATGGAACTTTTGACAGTATAGAAGTTTGAGTTTATAAAATTGGTTTTATAGTAGGGTATAATTTGGGGGGGGGGGACTAGAGCATTAGGAATAAACTGTTCGGAAGTTACATTTGTGTGAATTCTGAAGTAAAATTGCTCCAAAGTAACACAAACACAAAGCATATTGTATAGGCATTTGAGATGAGTTTTAACATCTGTAAAATTCTCTGAAGTACAGTAATTTATTGTGGACCCATGTGATGAGCAGAGAATGTACCTGAGATTATTAATTTGTATAAATTTCAATTGTGAGGTGATTTGTAACATGGTTTGAAAATTATATGCTCATCACATGGCATGAAATTTTGTTTCAAATGAATTTATATTTCATGCTTCCACTTATATAGTAGCACAGTGAAAAGACTGATCCTTTTGACATCATCTCTGCAGTGTAAAAGGAGATGTTGCTGTCATTAAAAATTTAAAAACATCAGTAAATACTTTTCTTTTCAAATATAAATCTACAATACAAAATTTGACATCGCCAAAAATTTGTTTAAGAAAATTATAAAACTGAGTGCCGTGACATTTTAAAATTACATATTACACATCATGGGATATCGGGCCAAAATATGACCCCTCCATATCAAAGACATAATACAGTTACAAAACAATATAAAACATCTCTAAAGCACTGAACACTAGTTTGTTATCTCTTGACAACATCCATATTATTGATTATGGCATACCTCTTAGCACTTTTTTTTTCTGTTTTAAATCTATAAACTTTGAATCTTAGCCCAGAGGTTGGCTGCTCTTAGAGGCTCTTTTATGACTTTCTAACTCTCCAGCAAGATTCTTGAATAATATTTTAAAATGCAATGACAGTTTGCACATCCCTTGGAATTAAGCATTCTCTATGGTACAGTCATTTTCCATTACACACTATTTGACCTCTGCAGTTAACAGAGCATTATGAAATATGCAAAGTTAGAACGTTGTACATCCATATCCTGTGATTGACCCTTTTCTGGGATAGTTCTTAATATCACAGGTTTGAACTTAATTATGCTTTGGCCATTGGAGTTCAATGTTCTGATATTTTCTGGCCCTAAGAGGAAATTTCATAGCACTGAAAAGACCTGCACTTTATGAAGTATTCCCTTATTCATTAAATATATATGGTGGCACAAAGTAATGTGTATGGAGCAAAAAATGAACACTGTTTACAGCTAAGGCTATAACTAAAAATTAGAATTATGTATTGTACTAATGAAGATCAATTATGTTGCAGAAAGTATATTAGGAATGACTTTCACTTAGTGTTATTTTTTACATTGCAGAAAGAAAGAAAGTAACAAAGAAGACCAGGACAACTCAAGAGGCAGAAACAGAAGGTTTGATAAAGCTAACATTTATTTATTTACTTCCTTACTTATTTTAGAATCCTTCAAATGAATATCAGTAAAAATATAATTTGTCTTTAACAGAGAAGACTAAAGTATCACATACTAGCAAATTAAACTAGCAGAAAGTAGTATATAGGCTCTTATGCCAGATAGTTCAGTTCAGGTATTATTTTCAGAGTTCTAATGATGTGAAATACCTGATAATCACTTCAGAATGAAGTAAATACGCTGACAAGGGCACTGCTATTTCTGAAGTGCTGAATTCATATTCCCATCATAATGGGGTTTACATTTACTTAACATTTTTATTACATTCCACTGATACTTATGTTTGAAGGACATAATATTCATAACAGTGCATATGTATTAGGTTTATTTATACAATTTTAAAAACTGAATACCATTCAGTAATTTTGGTGTTAAACATGCTATTTATGAAATCAGTGAAGTCAAGATATTGTCACGTGACATGACAAATAACTTCACGCTAGTCTGGATCTTAGGGAATTTATTGTACACTCGCTCTTACACTTACACAGTTCACATTTTCACAATAACTGCCAACTGCAATATCACAATTACTTCTGCTGTAGTCACTTCCTGGCTTCAACTGTCTTGATTCCATTCAATCAACAACTCATACTGCTAGACTTCAACTCATACTAGTAACTCTCTGGTCTAACAAGTCAAAGTCAAAGTCCAATTGCGACTGACGGTCAGTCAGTCAGTCAGTAAGTCTTGGTTGGGGCTCATGACCAGATATTAATTATTAGACAGTTACGGTCTTGTTTCTGTGGGCCACCTTCTCTGACGAGAGGACGGGTCTGTCTTTTGTATATGCTGCTGGCTCTTGCCAGAGCAGTCTTACTCGGGTCCAAGTCCCTTGGGACTCACAACCAGAAATGATGGGACAAGTGCCTCAGTATATAGGGAGATTATGTTAAGAAATAAAAGCATTTTTCAAATCAGTACTCTTATTTGTTTAAGTTCTCTATCCATTTGTAACTTACTCATTTACTTACTGTCGTATATACAAATACATACATACACACATACAGGATGTTCCATTAGGAAAGGTCAACATTCTGATATGTCATAGTACTGGACATTCTAAGCATTATAAACTGTTTGGATCTGTACTACAAAATAGCTCTATCTTGGAAACCGTTCAGAATAGGACATGTACATATACGCTTTTTGGTTAGAATGACCGATACTGTGACCTCCCAGAATATTGACCTTTCCTTCTGGGACAGCCTGTGTATACACAACTTTTAAACCTGAAGAACATGGCCTACCACAAATTTATATGGGTAGAAACACAATATTTCCATCAAGACAGTAACATGTAATGTGCATTATACAGTATAAAGTTATTTCATTTTATGCTTAAAAATAGAGTAATGCTGTCCCCAGAGCTTCAAAACATTCTAAATCTGTCAGATAATCATGATATCTCATGAATTTCCCCATGCTTTGGAATTACTTTTTAAGAATGCTGAGCTAATATGGGAGTAGAAGTGTGTAGGACCTTGTAATAGCTTTGCTTAAAATACAGTAAATTTTTATATTTTTGTGTGTGTTTTATATACATAATATTATCTGACGATAGCTGTGATTGAAACTGGAGATTTGCTTGTGAGTATTTAATGTGATTTCATTCCACAGCAATTTTTTATGCTTTAAGATATTGGCAAGCATTTGGATTAAGTTTTCCAGCAGGAGTAATATTGATCGCACTGTTCTAATTTTGTTTTAGATATTAGTAAACAATTCTGAATACATTTCTGTGCCACAAGGCTTGTTCTTTGGTAAAACAATCAAGTGGCTATTGTATGTATTGGTATAATAAATTTAAAAATATGTTTTGTTTGCTTCAGTATCCTAGCTTTATGTTCTTGGAAATAATATCCCTCTTAATCATTGAAATAACTAGAACATAATATGTTGCTAAGTGGATATTTTTTATTAATGGTATATATTAGTATAATAAATTTAAAAAAATGTTCTATTTGATTCAGGGCTGATTAAACCAATCTTTTAAATATTCTAGCTTTATAGGCTTGGAACCAATATCCCTGTTAATCACCGAACTACCAAGAACAGACCATATTGCTTATTTCTGGAGGTTTTTATCAATCATATCAAAGTGGTACAACAGAGTTCTGTTAATAGAATCGTTGTTTCACGAGTCTTTGACCGTTAATCTGTGAGAGTTCTGACTATTTTTAGTTACAGAAAGGAAATTATTAAAACATGAATTGATCAGTGCAAAGAATTATATAATATTATTTTTAGCATTTCATTTTATTTAGTGATTTATTTCCTTGGCACTAACAGTTCTAGAAGAGCATTACTTAATTATATTTGCAGAATGTGCATTTCTCACAAACTACTCTATGCAGTTGTCTACAAAATCATTAATACAACTTCAGTGACATTCCTTTCTATCTGTTTGATGAGTTATGAGTTGCAGAAAATGAATTTAGAATAGATTAAAATTTTAGTAATTTCAGTTGTAGTCTAGTGCTCGGAGGCTAAAGTGTGTTGCTGCTTATTGACTTCTGTCTATCTTTTTTTCCAGTTTCATTTTCCAACTCTGTCATTTAGTTTGTCTGCAGCCTTATTATTTAATGATCTACTGGTTTGACCTCCATAACACTAAAGGACACTGACACTTACTGTAATTGTAACACGAACACACCTTTCTATATTTGTATATTTATGCCTTGTTAATGCTTATTTGTTGCTGCTTTTGTATGGCTTCTTTTCAAGAATTTAAAACATTAGGTTTGAACTGTCACTTACATTTGAAATAGAGGTGAGTATTTTGTGTATCTAACTCAGTGTATGATACAGTACTTTGCTTGTAACCTGATAGACCACATGGATTTTAAATATATTAGAACATATTTTTAAGATAATCAAATTTTTATTAGTTCATTGAAATATTTAGTAGGTTATTGTTTGAATACTTTTTGTTGTAGTGCAATATCTATTTTTGTGTAGCACGATATTTTGAAATAGTTTAAGGCAGTGTCAGAGTTCTGGTTGAGTTGTATAACGCTTACTGATAATAAAGTGGAACCATATTTTGCCATTCAAGTTTTTAATTTTTTTTCCTTATATTTTTATTTTAGTATTTTTAATATTTATCCTAATTTGTGTCATATTGTCGCTGCAATTTGGTTTGTGTTGTGTTCAACAATATATTCTGTTCAGTAATTAAACTCTCCAGCAGTGCTTCTGTTGCAGCAGTAAACATCTAACAAGATAATTCTTGTAGCAATCTGTCTCCGTCCACTTCTCACACTTTCCCTTTTACTTCAGAACACTAACATTCTTATACATGCGTTGATTCTTCTGATTTGACTGCTTCAACATGTAAGCATTCTACATGTTAACACAAAATTGCTTCACATTAACATGGTACTGGAACTGTTTCATAACTCACTCTTGTTTGCTAAGGCAGCATTCCAGTATCTTTACACTGGTGCATATCAATGCTTCATATTAGCATCATATTCAAGACTTACAGCACATTTTAAATGCTTCACACTAATCTGGTATTGAAACTATGCACTTTTGCTTCACATTAACACAGCATTTTAAGTGCTTCTAGATCATTCCAAATGCTTTACAATATGATAGGTTCAAACTGCTTCTTCAGCTCTTAAAACAGTTGGCTTGAAGCACAGTAATGTCTCAAACTAAACAAGACATGAGGTTGTAGTGTCCATAATTAGTGCACACATAACAATCAACTGATAATTGATATGTGTATCCTGGATTATGGATGACTTTAAATTTAAATCAGCCATAGTTAGCCATTGATACCAGAATGTCTTACCTGATTAGCTGGAGGTTACTGCTTGATATGTGTCAAGGTGTAACCTACTTGTGAAAAAGATCTGGGCATGAGAACAGATTGTCATCAACCTGAAACACAGAATTATTTCTTAAAATTATATATTATTTTCATTGGCTTTCAGTATGGCTGACTTAATGAGGGACATATTTTCACAGAACAAGTCCATATAACACATTTACATTGACATACTTTCACAGAAACCCTCGAAGAAACAGACCACGTACGCACAGCATCTGGGACTGCTGCATCCAAACCACAAGAACACAAGCCTTTGAAACAACTTGATAGGGAAGAGGGAGTTACTATTACAGAAATACCTTTAGATGAGCAAACGACAGTCACAGAGCAGTCCCTTGCAATTGTCACCCAACCCATGGAGGAACAGGTTGAATCAAGTCAAAGGAAGAAACAAATGGAGAACCTGGAGGAGGAAGAAGAAGAACTGATCATCATAGAGAAATCCAAGGGTCGTAGTATTAGGCGGCAGAAAGAGAAGATAGTGAAGCAGCAATCAAAGGAAGAGGTAGAGGTAGAGATTGAGTTTGTGGGGGAAGGTAAAAGGAGGGTGAAGAAAACAATAAGGGCCAGGCAACCAGATACCGAAGAGGAAGTCAATGATGAAGAACATGTAGAGGCACTGAAACCTCTTTCAGCAAAATCTCTTCAAGGGTTGCCCCTTATTAGTCCCATACATTTGGCTGAAAGTATACCTGCAGCTGTTGTTACAGAGATAATCACAGACAGCAAGGTGATGCAGGAACAAGTGAAAGTCAGCCTACTAACACACACAGCTGTGTCAGAACAGCAGGTGGAAACAGAAGAACGTGAACAGGACACCATACAGAGAATAGCTCCTGAAGGTGAAAATGCTGCACCAAGTCTTGATACCATTGAACCTTATCTGGTAATAGAACATAATGTCCATACAAGAGCAAGTGAATTTGAGACAACATTCAAGCCACAGACTTATGAGGCAAGCAAAACTATTGTGTCTAGTGAAGGTCTACTTATTAGTGAGACTCTGCCTGATCATAAAATGGGTGTGGTCCAGACTACCACAGAAGTCCAAGAAACTCAAGCAACTATTTCCTTATCCCTAAAGGAAGCTACTTCTGTAAGTCAAACTGAAGTAGCCTTGAAGGAAGGAGATGTAAAAATTGATACTTTACCTAAAGGTCAACATGCAGACAGATCATTGATTCCTCAAGAAGGGTTATCTATCACAGAAGTGACAGAAGGAACATCAGAAGACAAGTTAGATGCCCTATTAAAGCCAACTCCTGTAAAACCAAGAATGCAAGTGCCATCTTCAGAGCCCTTAGTAGTTAGTGAAGTGTTTGCAGAAACCAGACCTGGGAAATATTACCCAGAATTATTTGTGGCTACAGAAGTGGCTACCAGATCATTCATAACACAGCAACAAATTACAACTCACGAAATGAATGCTCCAGAAAAAGAAAGTGAATATATCCCAGGGCGACTTCCGCCTTCACAGCAAGCTGGAGTTGGGGTTATGCCTGGAGAAAGTGTACTTGTATCTCAGCTGGATGTGCAAGAAAAGGAAGGAGATTTGTCACTTCAACGAAAGCTTGAAATATCAAATGCAATAGAAGATGTAACAGTAGTTGAGGGTATCTCTGTAAGTGTAGTGCAGCCACATCATCATGAACAAGACCTCAGTGTTCAGGTGAGAGAGGAAAAGACAGCGGGTGTTGATTTCACTCAGCAAGAGTCTTTTGTAACTGCTGAAACAACAGTTTCAGAACATGAGGGTCCGTACATCCCTGGAGAAACACCACAAGGAAAACAAGCTGACAGTTCTGTTATTTGTTTTCAAGTGTCAGATGTGTCCATATCTCTTATCCAAGAATCAGAGGGTGATTTTCTACCAACCAAGTTACCCATTGGTGCCTGTGCTGAACCAAACGTTAGCCCTGAAGAATCAATAACAGTTTCTGAAATTCAGACAGTAGATCTACCATCTGAATTTTCTGACTTTCTACGATACCGCATGGATGAAGCAACTACCAAATTGGAGACACAGGAGACAAAGGAAATTTCTTTTGTTTTAACTGAAGAAAAAGAAGGCTTTATTGAGAAGACAGAGCAGCTCCAACCGTGTAAAGTAGAAGAGTCTTATAGACCACAAACAGGAATCAATGTAGAGCATAATCAAGCAGTTGAACAAGAGGGTGAATTCCCTGTTTATGAATTACCAGAAACACACAAAGTAAAGACAGTTCCTTCACATCCTTTGCATTCAATTGTTGTGGAGGAAACTCTACCAGCTGGTCTCATCAAAGATCTAATAAAAGAGAAGCCACACTCTGGTACTGCAAAACGGGACCAGGAAGTCTGTCAGGAGGTGGTTATTGAGGAGGCTGTTGTAGGGGAAGGATTGAAATCATACAAAACAGGATCACAACCAGATCAGAAAATAGCAGATGTCACTGTCTTACAAGAGGAAGGAGTGACAGTAACTGAAGTTGTTACAGAGGACCGGGAAGTTACATACACAAGACCTGAGCTTCCTGCTGAATGTTTTGCATTGCGAGATATATCACCACAGAATGTTGCCATTAAGGCTGAGGTGAGGCCTGAATCCACTGCAGAACCACTAATTGAGGAAGTTCCAGCTAAGAGCACTGCTAAGCCAGACCAGACCACCCTGGAAAGCCTCGTGATCAGCCTTTCACAATTGGTTGAGAAAGAAGGAGAGTTTAACAAAGACATAAAACCTGATACAAAACAGGCTAGTGTGGAATGGGGTGAGAATCTAACAGAAATATCAGTGATGCAAATATTCACCCATGATAAGGAAACTGACTATATTAGTGAGAAAGCACCAAATTTGATTACAGCTGCACCTAATATTCCTGGACGTGAGGTTGCTCTCACATCTGAAACAATGCCTGAATTACATCTTGGAAAATTGGACTATGAATCACCAACACATGGGCATGCAAAACCTGACAGTGAGCCCCATCATGAGCTTTTGGTGACTGAAACAGCAATAAGTGAAGCAGAGAGAGAACTCAGAGCTGATACAAGACCAGGTCAGAAGACAGCTGATATTTCTGTAGATGCTGGGCAAGTAATTTCAGTGACAGAAATTGTAGCAGAGCATAAGGAAGCCATTCTAGAGGCTCTAGATTTACCTAAACATCGTAAAGCTCTCATGGATATCTTTGGTCAGGAAGTAGCTGAGAAGCAAGAAATTGTAACGGACCTGACGCTTGGTGATTGGAAACGTCAGTCACCTGTAAAAGAACAAGCCCATCCAATGCAGGAAGGCCTGGAATGTGCCATATTATTGCAGCCTACTGTTGGTGAAAAGGAAGGTGATTATAGTGGGAAAATAAAACCTGATCAAAAGCAAGCTGAAGTAGTATTTCAGGAAGGTCATGTGTTGAGTGTTACAGAAGTTCTAATTCAGGACAGAGAGCAGCCTTTAGCCACACAAGAAACACCTGTAAAGAGAACTGCAACCTCTGATATCGGTACTCAAGGAGTGGCACTCATGTCAGAAGTTGTTACAGATCAGAGTTTAAAAGAAATTATTCCAACTGAAACAACCTTTGCAGAAGCAAAGTATGATCAAATACCCTACCGAAGTATTATTCAGAGCGAAACTATAATTCGTGAAAAGGAAGGCGAGTATATGCTTGATATCATACCTGAAATAAAGAAGGCAGAGCCAGGCTTTGAAGAAGAACAGGGCATAACTGTTACACTGGTAACCGTGGAAGACAAGGAGAGCAATTTAGTTTCTCCTGAGAAACCTACAGAGATGAAGGCATTACCTGATGTTATAGGACAGGAAGTAGCAGAAAAAACAGAGGTTATTACAGGAAGTAGCACTACAAATTTTTCCACTGAGTCCCCACTCTGTGCACAGGCTATTGCTGAGCAGTTGCCATACCAAAGTGTGATTCTGTCAGAAACAGCTCCTGGAGAACGTGAAGGAGATTTCAGAGAGAGTCTCAGACCTGACTCCAAGAGTGCAGATGTATTATTTGAAGAAGGGAAAGGGATCTCCATCACTGAAGTAGTTGCTGAAGATAAGGAGGGTGAATGTGCTTCTCCTGAGAACCCCGAGAGTAAATTTGCCACACCAGACATATCAGGTCAGGAAGTGGCTCAGAAGACTGAAGTCATCCCTGAGGCAAGAACAGGCGAAGTGACTGTGGAATTTCCTTCCAAAGTTCAAGCTAACCCAGAACAGCTCACGTTTGATAGTGTTGTTCTCTCTGAAACAGCGGTCCAGGAAAGTGAAGGAGAATTCAAAGGAAAGTTGAAATTTGATACTCACAGTGCAGACTTGGCATTTGAGGAGGGTCGCAGTGTAACAGTGACCCAAGTGACATTAGAAGATAAAGAAACAGACTATGTGACACCAGATAAGCCAAAAGAGAGGACTGCTCATCTTGAAATATCTGGCCAGGAAGTTGCACAGAAGTGTGAAGTATTAACTGAGCTTGGTGTAGGGAGTGTGACTGTAGAGAAAGCAGTAACTGCCAGTGCTCAACCTGAGCAATTGCCTTTTGAAGGCATTGTGCAAACAATTTTAGCAATAGGAGAAAGTGAAGGGAAGTTCACTGGAGATACAAAACCATTTTTGACAGTGGCAGAACTGGCATTTGTAGAGGAGAAAGGAATTACAATAACAGAAGTCACTTTAGAAGATAAAGAAGAGAAATATTCGGTACCGGATCTTCCGCAGACACGAGTAGCACAGCCAGATGTATTACCACATGAGATACCACAGAAACTGGAGATTGTAGCAGAAGTGAGAGTAGGTACAGTTCTAACAGAAATGCCAAAAACTGCTACAGCAGAAACACAGCAGCTTCTTTTCCAAAGTGCAGAACAAAGTATTACAATAATAGGAGAGGCAGAAGCTCCTTTGAAGTCTTTCATACAGCCAGATGTAAAGAGTGCAGATACTTCGTTTGAAGATACTAAAACTGGAGTAAGCATCACTGATATTATAATTCAAGATAAAGAAGATATTTATGTAACGCCAGATAAACCTACCCAGTATAAAGCAAAGCATGAAATAACAGCTCAAGAAGTGGCAGAAAAAACAGAGATTATTACAGGAAGTAGCACTGCAAAATTTTCCAGGGAATCCCCAGTCCGTGCACAGGCTATTGCTGAGCAGTTGCCATACCAAAGTGTGATTCTGTCAGAAACAGCTCCTGGAGAACGTGAAGGAGATTTCAGAGAGAGTCTCAGACCTGACTCCAAGAGTGCAGATGTATTATTTGAAGAAGGGAAAGGGATCTCCGTCATTGAAGTAGTTGCTGAAGATAAGGAGGGTGAATGTGCTTCTCCTGAGAACCCCGAGAGTAAATTTGCCACACCAGACATATCAGGTCAGGAAGTGGCTCAGAAGACTGAAGTCATCCCTGAGGCAAGAACAGGCGAAGTGACTGTGGAATTTCCTTCCAAAGTTCAAGCTAACCCAGAACAGCTCACGTTTGATAGTGTTGTTCTCTCTGAAACAGCGGTCCAGGAAAGTGAAGGAGAGTTCAAAGGAAAGTTGAAATTTGATATTCACAGTGCAGACTTGGCATTTGAGGAGGGTCGCAGTGTAACAGTGACCCAAGTGACATTAGAAGATAAAGAAACAGACTATGTTACACCAGATAAGCCAAAAGAGAGGATTGCTCATCCTGATATCTCTGGTCAGGAAATTGCTCTAACATCTGAAGTACTCACAGAGCTTAGTGTAGGTCACTTGCCGTCAGAAGTAGCACCTACATATAAAGCCCTGTCAGGGCAAAAGCCACATGAGAGTATCATACAAACACAGGCAATTATTCAGGAGCAGGAAGGAAATTTATCTGAACAACGCAAACCAGATTCAAAGTTAGCGCAGCTGATACTTGAAGAAGGTAATAGTGTGACAGTAACTACAACAATTCCAGGAGACAGTGAAATTGAATTTGTTGCTCCTGAAAAACCAAAGGAAAGAGTTGCTGTAACAGATATTTTAGGAAAGGAAGTAGCAGAGAAGTCTGAAATTATACTTGGCTTAAGTTTTACTGAACTGAAACAAGAAACACAAATTTCAGCTTGGGCTAATCCTGAACAATTGCCGTATGAAAGTGTGATGCTTACAGAAGCAGCTATTCGTGAAAGGGAAGGCAAATTTGATGTTGATAAAAAACCAGATTCTATGCAGGCAGAACTGGACTTTGAACTTGAACACAGTGTCACTGTATCTCAAATTACTCTGGGTGACCAAGAACGTTTGTATACAGCTCCTGAATTGCCTAAGGAGAGGAAAGCCTATCTAGACATCAGTGAAAGTCAAGAAGTAGCTGAACAGATGCAGGTGATGCCGAATGTTGCCATAAAGGAATTAGAATATGTGGCTCCTCTTTCTGAAGAAGCCCGCCTGGGTCAAGTAACACTTAAGAGTGTGAGTGTTATGGAAGGTCTGGCACAGGAGAGTGAAGCAGAGTTTACTGGAAAATTCCTACCATCAACAAAGAGAGCTGATACCCTTATTGAAGAAGGAAGAAAAGTGCAGATGGTTACAGAAGTCCTTGTGGAAGATAAAGAAGGTAGGATTGATAAACTTGATATTCCACAGGGAAGGAATGCAGAGACAGATATATTTGGAAGGGAAGTAGCTGAGAAAAGTGAGGTGTATGCTGAAATATGTGTTTGTGACATTACTACGGCACTGCAGCAGCAGCAACAACAGCTTACTGCCAATCTTCAGCAAATTCCATTTGAAAGTCTTCTTCTCTCTGAAACGATTGTGACTGAAAAGGAAGATGAAATGAAGCCTGATCATATGGTTATAAAGAAGAGTGCACAAATGAGTTTTGAAGAGGGTAAAAGTGTGACAGTGACTGAAGTGATATCTCAAGACAAGGAGTCTACTTACATTGCACCAGAAAAACCAAAAGGCGCTGTTGCCCAGCCAGAAATTCTTGGTAAAGAAGTTGCAGAAAAAACAGAAATTGTATCAGAATTGGGAATAATAGAACTCTCAGAAGATATCCCTTCAACTGCCTCTGCAGTTCCAGAATCTATACCATTCCAAGTAATTGTACAAACTGAAGCAGATGTTCAAGACCGGGAAGGTGAATTCACTGGGGCGTTTAAGCCAGGCACGAAGAATGTAGATGTAACTTTTGAGGAAGGTAAGAGCATTATTATAACTGAAATCATAACAGCAGAGGATAAAGAAGACAGGCATATGACAACAGAAATACCCATAGGTAAATTGGCGCACCGAGATATAACCACACAAGAAATCGCTGAGAAATCTGAAGTGCTTGCTGACATCTGTTTGGGTGAAGTTGTTGCTGAATCACCTCAAAAAATAATTGCCACTTTGGAACAGCTGCCCTATGAGAGTATAATACAGACTGAAAGCATGATCGGAGAACATGAGTCAGAATTCAAAGAGGAGATGCATTTAGTGAAGAGAAATGCTGCCTTCACTTTCGAGGAAGGAAGAAGTATCAGTGTAACACAGGTTAATGTTGAACATAAAGAAGATATCCTTCAAGCTCAAGATACACCAAAGCAGAGAACTGCACAGCCAGATGTAATCAGCCAGGAGTCTATACAACTAAGTGAAGTTCTGACACAGATGCATGTTGGTAAGGTAACACACACACAACCTACTACAGAAAGAATTCAAGCAGATCAGGAAACTGTCGAAGGCCTCATCATTTCAGAGGGAGATGTTCAAGAGAAGGAAGGTATATTTGATGCAGTATTTAAGCCTTCAAGCAAGACTGCTGAAATTCAGTTTGAGGAAGGAAAAGTAATAACAGTTTCAGAAGTCTTGATTGAAGATAAAGAGGAAGAATACAAGGCACCTGAAGGCCCAAAGCATAGAATAGCCCAACCAGACATTACTGCCCAAGATATTGCAGAGAAAACTGAAGTTATTGTTGAGTTTGGTGTTAGTAAATTTACCAGTCAGATGCCATCTACAGCAGTAGCTAATACTGAACATCTCACATTGGAGAGTCTGGTCCAAGAGCAAACGGCAGTCATTGAGAGTGAAGGTGAGTTTGGAAGTGTGTTTAAGCCTGACACAAAAAGTGCAGAATTAACGTTCGAAGAAGGTAAACGAGGAATAACAGTCACTCAGATAGTCGTGGAAGATAAAGAAGGAACTTGCCAAGATCTTGACCTACCGAAAGAGCGTAGTGCTCAGCCTGAAATAGTGGGACAAGAAGTAGTCCAAAAAACAGAGGTAATCACCGGCCTTGCACCTGGAGAAATTGCACTACATACATTACCACAAATAGGTCAAGCTAGTCCAGAGCAGCTTCCTTATGAATCTGTTGTACTGACAGAAGCAACTGTAAGGGAGAGTGAAGGAGTGTTAAAGACAAAAGCAAAGCCAGAATCAACAAATGCAGATCTTTCCTTTCAAGAAGAACAAAGTATCACTGTTACAGAGGTTATGGTTCAAGACAAAGAAGGAATAAAAATCATTACAGGAGTTGCCAATGAAGGGGTAGCCCGCCCAGATATAATAGAGAGAGAAGTGGCCTTGAAGTCAGAGGTCCTTCCTGAAACTATGGTAGGGCAATTAGATATTCAGGTTCCAGAGCCTAGTGTCGCGATGCAGGCTGTACCTCAACAACAGCACAGCCTGGTAGTAACTGAACTTGGCACTGGAGAGCTGGAATCTGTGCTTCCTGATTTGGTGAAACCATCCTCAAAAACCACCATTATCTCCTTTGAAGAGCAGGAAGCTAAGCTTCTTGTAACAGAAGTCCAGCCTGAGGACCGAGAGGGTGAGTACTTAATGGAATCAGAAATTCCAGAACAGTATGGAAGGGTTGGATTGAAAACTAGTCAGGCAGTAGTACTGGAGGAGATAATTGCAGGGATAGATGTAACCGCATTTAGTGGGGACAAAAGTGTAACACAACATGAACATGCTGTAATGGGTCATTCCACTAGCAATAGGGCAGTATCAGTATTTGAAACAATGTCAGGTGAACGGGAAGGTAAGTTTAACGAATTAGTGATCCCTGAATCTAAGACAGCCGAATTAAACTTTGAAGGCACAAATCGTGAAGTCACAATTGTAGAGATTAGATCCCATGACACTGAAACAGATTTTGTACCAGAATTAGTACCTAGCAGACATGCAACAGCAGATTTTACACATGCAGAATCAGCTGTAGTGCAAGAGATGAGATTGGAAGAATTTCTAGGCGATGTTCATAGCTCAGTCCCCAAAGAGCAAACTGTTCAGGTAAGCCATGATTTGCGGGAGGGTGTTACTGTTACAGTTCCAGAAATTACAGAAAACGAAACTGAGAATGAGAGTATTTCATATGACACTGAAGTGAAATCTGCAACAGTATCCCTTGCAGAGAACAGAAGTGTCACAGTAAGTGAAACTGTTTCGCAACAAACTGCAGAAGATATATCTGTGACCTACAAAATGAGAGAAATGCAACCAGCAATAAATTTGGTTACACATGATTCAGCACCAGAAATACAAGAATCAGTTCCTGGTCAGTTAGTCAAGGAAATTGCACTTCCCAAATTAAAGAAAGAAACAACAGCTAGCTCAAAAATTATTTCTCAACAAGCAGCTGTCATACAGGTGATGACAAGCCAGCAAGATGTTAAATGCTTTTCTGCTTCCTTTATGCCAGAAGAGACATGTGCTAAATCAGAATTTGAGGTTAGACAGGTGGCAGTGGTACAGGAACCTGATACACAACACAGTACAAAGGACTTTGCTGTAAACATCCCTATAGAAACAAAAGCTCATCCACATGTTCTGGCCCAGGAAGTAGCTATAATTCATGACGAAGAACCTGAAGAAAATGTAGGGGACTTCATAGCCACTGCTACACCCGTAGACTCACTGGCTAAACCTGGGATAGTGATTCAAGAAATTGCCATTACACAAGAAGCTATTACTGAAGAAGGTCTTGATGTCATTGTACCTAAAACGTTAAATGAAACCACTGCTAGGTTGCAGGTCACCACAAATGAAGTAACTGTTACTGAAGAAACTATTTCTCATGAAGATACAATGAATCTTGTAATCTCAGATTTGAAAAAGAGCTCTGTAGCAACTTCAGAAGTTGTTGCAAGAGGTATTGCAACAATTGAAGAACCACAGACTCAACATTCTATAAGGGAATTCACTGTAACAGAAATTTCAAAGGAGGCAATGGCTACATTTGACATTGTCTCATCAGAAGCTACCATTGCACAGCAGCCACATGCTGAAGAAAATGTTTATGATTTGCAAGATTCAGGGCCCAGTAAAGCATTGCAAGCATACCCTGCAGTTGTTTTCCGAGAAGTTGCAACAATAAAAGAGACGCACCCAGAAGATAATCTGTCTGACATGGTTGTTAGTGAAAGAGCAAAGGAAATTAAGGCAAACACTGGAATAATTATGAGTGAAGCTGCCATTACAGAACAAATGATCGCTGAACAAGATGTTTCTGACTTGTCAGTGCCAAAGTTATTAAAAATGTCACAAGTTACATCAGGTGTAGTGAGCAGAGAAGTTGCAATTAAAGAAGAGTTTCTAACTCAACAAGGTATAGGTGTGTTTATAGCTTCGAATATCGGAAAACTATCACTAGCAACACCAGAACTTCAGACACAACATGTAGCAGTTACTGAGTTAGCACAACTGGAACAAAGCATCTCAGACCTAGAGCTTAAAAATCTGCAGAAGCAGACTCATGCTAAACAAGACATAGTTACAGTAGATGCAGCAGTTACTGAAGAAACCCAAGTGGAACAAAATACTACAGAACTGGTAGCTTCTGAGCTTAAAAAGGAGTCTCAAGCAGTTCCCGAAATTATAACAAGAGAAGTGGCAATTACTTTGAATCCACATGTTGAAGAAGATGCAGCAGAGTTAGTTGTTTCTGAATTACGAAGAGAAACTAATGCAAAACCTGAAATGATGGTGAGAGAGGTTGCCATATCTCAACAGCCACACACTGAAGAAGGGGCCGCAGACTTAGATGTACCTGAATCACAGAAAGGGACTGCAGCAAAACCTGAAGTTGTGAGCAGAGAAGTGGCAATATCACAGCAATTAATTGCAGAGGAAGAAACTTCTGATTTTTATGTTACAGATCTATATAAGGAAACAAAAGCAAAACCTGAAATTGTTATCAAGGAGGTTGCTCTAACACAGCAACCACTCACAGAAGAAGAGGCAACAGACCTGGTTATATACAGTTTACAGAAACAATGCACAGCAAAGCCTGAGGTTGTGTCCAGGGTAATAGCAGTATCGGAACATCCACTTACAGGAGAAGAAGCCTCGGAATTGATTGCACCTAAACCGCAGGAAGAAAGCAAAGCAAAGTCTGATGTAGAAATTAGAGAAGTGGCCGTAATACAACACCCACTCACAGAAGAAGGGACCTCAGATTTTGTTTTATCTGAACTGCAGAAAGAAACAACAGCAAATTCTTCGATTGTCAGTAGAGAAGTAGCCATCTCTCAACAGCCAGTGACAGAAGAAAGCACCTTAGACTTACATATAGGAGATACACGCAAAGAGATAGTAGTGAAACCTGAGATTGTGTCCAGAGAAGTAGCAGTATCACAGCAACCACTGACAGGAGAAGGGGTCTCCAAATTGATTGTATCTAATTTTCAGACAGAAACTACAGCAAAATTTGAGATTGTGACTAGAGATGTAGCAATAATACAGCAACTACAAACAGAAGAAGGGGCCTCAGTGTTGGCTGTTGCTGAAATGCAGAAAATGACAGCAGCAAAAACTGGTGTTGTGAGTAGAGAAGTAGCAATATCTCAGCAACCATTCACAGAAGAAGGGGCCTCAGACTTAATATTGTCTGAATTAAAGCAGGAAACAAAAGCAAAACCAGAAATTGTGTCCAGAGATATTGCCATATCTGAACAACCACTCACAGAGGAAGGAACTTCAGAATTTCTTATATCAGATACACACAAAGAAACTAAAGCAGTGCCAGAGGTTGTGTCCAGGGAAATAGCAATATTACAAGAACCTATCACAGAAGAACAAGCCTCAGACTTATTTGTTTTGGAATTGCAGAAGAGTACTACAGCAAAATATGATGTTCCATCTAGAGAAGTAGCTATATCACAACAACCATTTATAGAAGAGGCCACCTCTGACTTGGCATTACCAATTTTACTGAAAGAATTAGAAGCCAAGCTAGAACTATTGCCACAAGAAGCTGCAATGACCCAGCAGTTATTATGTCAGCAAAGTGCAGTAGACTTTCAAGTACCTGAAGTAAAGGACACCTCCAAAGCTATGTCAGAGTTTGAAACTAGAGTGGTTGCTATTACAGAACAAGCACAATTTCAAGAAGGTTCTTCTGATCTGAATGTATGTGACTCACACAGAAAGTCACAGGCTACACTTCAAGTTGTAACCAGGAAAGCAGCAGTAACACATGAAACTCAACTTAACCAAGACACCCCACCCTTACTGACAAATGTCTCTTTAAATAAATCAATTGCACAGCCAGAATTTATTACCAGAGAGGTAGCCATTACTCAGTTATCATTACCAGTGCAGGATAGTGAAGAACTTCATATGCCTTCAGTGGCACAAACATCAATTGCAACTTCAGAATTGGTAACTCAAGAAGCGGCAATTTCTGAACAACCACAGTCAGAGCAGACACATTCAGAACTACAGGTTAAAAAACTTTTAAAAGAAGTACAAGCCAGACAAGAATTCATCACAAGGGAAGTTGCAGTGACTGAAGAATCAATTTCACAACAAGATACAGTTAGCTTGGTACACTCAGATTTGAAAAATGGATCTGAAGCCAGGATAGAACTTGAAACTAGAGAAGTGGCAATTATAGAACAGCCACAGACTGAAATGAATGTACCAGAACTTAAAATAAGAGAGATTATGAAGGAAGCTACGGCACAGTCAGATATTTTAACCAAAGATGCTGTGATTACTCAGCAGTTGCATGTTGAACAAAGTGTTTCAGAAGTAAATATTTTAGAACATCTGAGAGAAGTAAAAGCTCAGTCACAGCTTGAAACTAGAGAACTTGCTATAAGTCAGCAACTTCATGTAGATGAAGGGGCCACAGACTTTACCATTTCTGGAGTTCCTAGAGAATTACAAGCAACGTTTGATGTTTCATCAAGAAGTGTAGCTATTACACAGGAATGTATTCCTCAGCAAGGCTTAGAAGAATTGACAGGAACAGATATGAATCAAGTCTCTCATGCCACACAAGATCTTGTGACTTTTAAGACAGCAGTAACAGAGCAACCTACAATGCAGGAAGGTACAACAGATATACTTAACTCACAAGTAGCCAAAGAGTCGCAAGCTAAGCCAGCTGTGATAGCAAGAGAAGCTGTAGTAACACAGCAAGTGGACACACAGCAAAATGTTGCAGATTTTAATTCAGTTAATCACGATATGACATCACAGGCTGAATCCAGTGTTATAACACGAGAAGTGGCAATAACTGAAGAACCCCATACTGAACATGATATCAGGGATATTGAAGTCAGAAAGCACAGAAAAGAATCCATAGCTATTACCAAATTTGTAACTAAAGAAGTGGCTGTAACTCACGAAACAATCCCTCAGCAAGGTATTCAAGAACTTTTAACAGAAGAACTTAAAAGCGGTTCCCAAGCCATACCCCAGTTGACAACCAGGGAGGTGGCAGTAACTGAGCAACCTGAAATTGAGCAGACTGTTTCACACCTGTCAGTTGAAAATCAGCTAAAAGAAGCATCCGCACAGTCTTGTGTTATAACAAGAGAAACTCTTATTACTGGCCAACCTTTCACAGAACACAACATAGTTAATTTGATAACAGAGGTACCAAGGGAAGTAATGGCAACAGCTGGAGTTGAAGCTAGAGAGGTGGCTATGTCGCAAGAATCAGTCTCTCAGCAAGACACAGTTGTCCTTCAACCAGATGTAAATGCAGAGTACAGAGCCAGCCCTCAAATTGAAACAAGAGACATCGCAGTAACTGAACAGCCTTTGATGGAATTCAGTGTAACAGAACTAGAAGTTGGAGAAGTGCTGAAAGAAACTGAAGCAAAGACTGATATTATAACAACTGAAGCTACAGTAACACAGCAGACAATTGTACAAGAGAAAAGTGATGATTTGATTTTGCCAAAATTACTTAAAGAAGTACAGGCTAATTCAGATATAATTACTAGAGAAGCTGCAGGCATTAAGGAAGTTCAAACAGAGCAGTTCACTACTGAACTTACTGCCTGTAAACTGGAGGTTGTAATTAGTGCTAAATCTGACATTGTTGTGAGAGAGACTGCAGTTATTGAGCAGCTTCATGCAGAACAGAACATGTCAGAGTTTTCAGTATCACAAAGATTCAAAGAAGCTACAGCTACTGCTCATGTAACAAGCCAAGAAGTTGCAATGACTGAGCAGCCACTGACAGAGGAACAAGTTTCAGATTTGACTATCTCTGAACTTCATAAAAAATCAAAAGCAAGGCCAGAAATTGAAGCCATGGAAGCTGTGGAGACTAAAGAAACGCAATCAGAACTACATGTTCCAGATCTTACTGTTTTAAAGTCTCTTCCTGAAACTTCAGCTACATCTGGCATTATTATCAGAGGGATTGCTGTAGCCGAAGAAATTGAAACTCAGCATGGATTATCGAACCTGCAGTTGGAAGAAATGAAACAGATTCTTGCTAGCCCACAATTTATTAGTCAGGAAGCAGTGATAAGTGAACAACCATTTATGGAAGAAGATACAGCAAATCTAATTGTTTCAGAGATATTACAAGAATCACAAGCCAAGCCAGAAATTGTAACAAGACAAGTTGCTGAGTCTGAACACATTCAGACAGAAGAAGGTGTTATGGATTTGAGTGTTTTAAAAATGACTGAAGCAACAGCCAAGTCAGACATCATAACACAGCAAGCTGCCATAACTGAGCAACCCCATAGTGAGCAGTTTGTCCCAGAAGTGACAGTGCATCAGTCAAGAGGTACTAAAGCTACGTCACAAATCACAGAGCAGGAAGCTGTAATAAGACAACAGATTCACATAGAAGAGCCGGTTGAGAAGTTACATGTTACCAAATTGCTGGAGGGCTTCCAAGCTAAATCAGAGTTTGTGACCAGAGAAGCAGCAGAAACAAAACAAATTCTTACTGAACAGAACGTTAAAGATCTGGCAGATGCAGGAAAAAATGAAGCGATTGCAGAGTTGGGTATTGGCATGCCTTGGCATGCTGCAATTACAGAGCTGCAGCAAGTAGAACAAGGGGTTTCAGAACTGAACATTGTAGAAAAATCAGCAGAAAGTATGGCTGTAACCAGAATTGCAAGCCAAGAAGGTACAATAATTGAAGAAACTCTTACAGAAGAGCAAGTTCCAGACTTACATGTGACCCTATTGCACAAAGAATCGAGAGCTACACAAGAAATAGTGACATCAGAAGCTGTGGAGACAAAACAGATTCTTACTGAACAAAGTTGTCAAGAACTGACTGTTGCAGCTTCAGTTGAAACAAAAGCCATACCTGATGTAACAAGAGAAGCTGCTGTTACTCAGCAGCCTTTAACAGAACAGAATATTTCAAACTTTGCAGTAGGAGATCTAGTGCATGAATCTAAAGCTATACCTGAATTTGTAAGCCAGCAGAGCACAATAACTCAGGAGCATTTGACGTCAGAACAGGTTCCAGAATTGGCTGTGCCTGAACTGCTGGAAGAAATTCGAGCTACATCAGATGTAATAACTCGAGAAGTTGCTCAGACATTACAGATACAGGTCGAACAACATGTCACACATCTTCCCACAGCAGAATTAGCAAAGGAACTGACTGCAAAACCTGATATCATAACAAGACAGGCTGCAGTAGTTCAACAGTCTCTTACTGAACAGACCATCACAGATCTAACAGTTTTGGAACTAGTTCCTGCTAAAATTCATGCCACATCTGAACTTGTGGCAAGAGAAGTAGCAATAATGCAACATCCCCTTCCTGAAGAGGAAGCCTTGCATTTGTATGTACCTGGAAAGATCAAGGAATCAAGAGCTACTACTGGAATACTTCCAAGAGAAGTTGTACAGACTGAATACACTCAGTCTGAGTGTGGTGTTTCTGAGCTTGTAACTAAAGACAGCACAGAACTTCTTGAAGCTGAAGTTAACATTTTATCACAGAACGTTGCTATGACTGAGATGTCGGTCTCTCAAGAGAGTGCCATAGAATTTATTGCTACTCATATAAAAGAGAACAAAGCCATTCCAAGTCCCGAGATTGAATCAAGAGAAGTTGCAGTCAAACAGGTATCATATACAGAGGAAAATGCTAGTATCCTTAGAGCGGTATCTATAGAAACAGACTCCAAAGCCAAACTGACAATCACAAAAGAAAGAGAGGCCCCTGTTATCGAAGAACCTGTAACATCTCTAACCCTCGGAACTTTGGGAAAAACCATACCTGATATGAAGCAAGTAGCTCTGCTGGGACAAGAGCAATCTCATTCTGCAATACATGTTGCTCAGAATATTTCTTTTATGGTAGAGGGAACACATGACACACAACCTGAACACCTTAATAGAACAGGTGCTACTTTCAATTTGGGGGAGGGTATTACTATCACTTCAGAATCTAGTTCAGAGGAAACAACAGTGCAGTTAACTGAGGGGAAAACACCAGTGGATATGATTAGCATAATGCTGACTAGCAGCTCCAGAGGGGTAGCAGTTCAGGAAGAGGTTAATACATGCAGCATGGATGAAGGGAAGTTCATGTCCACACAAACAGATGCTAAGTCTGCCACAACCAGTCTTTTACGGCCAGTCATTAGTGCCCAGGTGTGTGAGGTAAGTGTACATGAGAGGGAAGACACACTTCTGCCTCTGTCAAAAGAGCAAGCACGACTGCTGGCAGTGGCTGAGGAAACTGTTGATGTAGTGATCACTGACACAAAGCACAGTGATGATACACCCACACCAGCACATGACAGAATCACTGGCACACCTCTTGAAGAAAGCAAAACACATACTACCACTGCAGAATACAAGCAGATAACACAACAATTTGGTACAGATGAAGACACAACAGCGTTGATCCAACAGAGCACCTACACTACTACACTCAAGCACGAACACCAACACATCACCTCGTCAGAGGTCAAACCAGAGCCTAGCAGCCAACACATGCAGCATATCACCACCGTGCTCTCGCCTCACGAAACCATTGACATTTCAGAGATCCTAGCTGAGATGGCCCCACAGACAACTCACACAACAGCCATACAGTCCTTCGAGCAGATGCCAGCACTCATAGTATCTGAAACCACAACCGAAATCAATGAAGGTGAGTATGTCACAGATGTTGAGCAGCAGGCCTCAGCTACTGAAATGGTGGAAGACATCACAACGCAGTTCCAAACTATTTCAACTGCTTCTGGAGCACAAATGATAAAGAGAACTGTAAGGAAGGTGATTAAGGGTGGCAAGAAAGTTGTCCTACAACCTGACAAAGAAGAAGAAGGAGGTGGAGTGTCCATTGAAGAAATTGTGGATGAGGGAGAAATTCCTGAGGCAGAAGAAATAACACCAGTAATTGTTGAAGAACTTGCAGAAGATGCAGCTGTAACTGAAGGGAAACCTGAAGTTACTAAGGAGAAAAGGAAGAAGAAAATAGTGAAGAAGGTGACCAGAAGAAGAGGAAGTAAAGAGGAAACGATAGTACTGACAACAGTTGAAGATGAAGGAAACAAGCCTGAAGTGAAAGTCTATGAAATAATTTCAGAGGATGCAGTACCACAAGCAATACAGAAGGTAGAAAGCCAAATTATTGAAGAAGAAACAATTGTTACATCAGACGAGATCTCTGTGAATAAAGAGCAGAAACCAGACATTTGGCCAGAAGAAGAAGAAATTCCTAATAAAATGGGGAAGAAAAAGGTTAAAAAACCTAAAGTTGCAAAAGTTACTGAAGACAGAAGTGTTTTTAGCCAAATGGAAGCTGAGGAAGTGACTGAAAATCTTGAATCTGTAGAACAGGTTCCAGTGCCCCAAGACAAAGATGGAGATGAACTCAGAAAGAAACAGATTCAGATACCAGAAGAAAAAGAGAAGCCTGAATCCATAACATTGAAAGATGTAGAAACAACACAACTTCTAGAAGACATACCTCCAGATACTGCTGAGGAAGTACAGCCATCTCCAGAAGAGGTAAAACCACAAATTATAGAAAAACTACAAGAGGGAAGAAAATCAAAGCAAAAGAAACCTAAAGATTTTGAAGTAAGTGTAGAAGTTGCAGGGACAATAGGGGATGTTGAGAAACCCACAGAAAATACTGAAGAGGACATTACAAAATCAGATGAAAGTCGAGAAATAAAGAAAAAGAAGAAACTTAAAAAGAAACCACAGACAACAGAGGAATTTCCAGAAATTGTGGAGAATATTCCAGACATTTCAGATAAAGAACTTCCAGACAAACCCTTGAAGGAACGCGAAACTGAAGATGCTCTAGATATGAAAGAGACTGATGATAAGACAGCCAATAAAGTAGTAAAGAAGAAGAGAAAAATAAAAAGTGTTGAAGCTTACAAGGAAGAAGTTCCTGCTGAACAGCCAGAAAAGCTTGAAGCAGTACAACCAACTGAGGAACCTGTACCAGAGAAACCAGCAACAGGAGAATCAAAAGACAAAAAGAAAATAAAGCCTAAGCTAATGAAACTTGAGCAAGTGGAAATAAAGCCAACAAAAGTAAAGGTGGTAGATGTTTCTAACGTTGAAGAATTTCCATTATTTGCACAAATAAAATTGAAGAAAGCGAAAATAATAGGAAAGAAAGAAATAAAAAGCGTGGAACTTCCAAAGATACTGCTTAGAAGCCACATAAAGCATATACATTATCCCCCAGAAGAAATTAAATGTATCATCACCACATTAAATGTTAAACCTGAACATGGAATTTTATCTAGAAATACCCAGGAGGCACTTAAGTTACAGAGAAAGAAAACACGTAAAATAAAATTACCAGGTAAAGAAGAAACTGAACTAGAAGAATCACAGTTTGAAGTGGAGGAAACAGAGAAACCCACAAAAGAGGAAGAAGATGTAAAATCATCTTGGGAAAAGTTGCCAAAGAAACCTGAACTAGAAGAAGATGAAGCACACAAACTGGTAATCGGCAAAGGAAATTTGCCTCAAACAGAACAACCTGAAGAAAAAGTAAAGCTCAAGAAAATACCAGAAAAGCTACAAGAGCCAGAAGAAAAAGAAAAGCAGAAACCAAAGAAACATGAACCTGCGGATGGCAAATCCAAAAAAGAGAAACAAGAAATATCACCGCAGTTGCAACCAGTAGAAGATATAAACTTTGAAAGAGAAGAACCAGTAAAACCCTATCCTATGCCAGAAGTGCCCAAGCAGTTAGAGGAGGAGCTCCCGGAAACAGAGAAATTGAAGAAAACTAGACCAAAGAAGCCAAAGAAAGAGCCAGAAGTTATACAGATACCACTAGAAAAAGGTAAGCCTAAAGAACCCCAACTAGAAGAAGATAAAGATATTTCATTGAAGAAAAAAATGGGTGAACCTAAAAAAGAGAAACCAGAAGCTATAACCCTGAAGCCATTTACAAAAGAGAAGCCCCCAGATGAGGAAGACAAAACTGAGTTAGTTATTGGGAAGCCAAAGCCGATTGATGCAAAAGAAGGAGATGAAGAAATAATTCCTAGGGTATTTGGCGAAGAAAAGAAGCTGAAACGAAAGAAGAGTGCCAAAGAATCAGATACACCAATTGAAGCAGAGAAGAAACCAGATGTTACATCAGAGGATGAAGTAAAATGTGATGAACCGGTACCGATTTCCAAGACAGTAGTTGAGTTGAAGCCACTTATTGAAGATAAAGCTACAGATGAGGAAGTGATGTTTGTTGATAGAACACAGTTACAGGAAGAACCAAAAATATCAGAGATGCCAGTTGATGTACAAGTTCAAGAGGCTGAAATCCAAAAGAATTTAGTAAAGAAGAAGAAGAAGAAAAAGGTCACTATTGTTGAACATGTTCAATTACTAGATGAGGGAGCAGAAGAGCATGAAGATTCAGGAGATGTTGAAAAAATAGAGGACCTGGTTCCACTGGAGTACAAGCCAAATGAAGCAACATCAACCTATGAGAAATCTGAAAGCATGGAGGTTGCTCAGACTGTGCCTATAGAAATGACAGAGAACATTTCTAAGAAGCCTGAAATTTTAAAGCAAGCAAGATCTGAATTAGGCATACAGACTGCAGTCACCATTGAAGAAGTCACAGCACAAGACCATGAGTTGCCTTTGGAACAAGAAGATAGTTTGCAAAAAGCAAAGACTACAATGGAGGCAAAGGAACATGAAGTGGCTGAAATATCGGAAATTTTAACAAAATGGAAAGAGGCAGAAAGACAGGACCAAAAGCCGCCAGAAGACCATGCTATGCAAGATATTTTATTTCAAGAACAAGTGAGCACATCAGTTGTTCAGACTATGGAAAACACTGAAACTCTCCAGCAGGCACCAGTTCCCTCCAGAGACACTGCTCACCTTGTTGAACACCCATCTGTGACCAAAATTCCACAGGAGGAAATTGTCTCTCCAGAAGGGGCTGAAACGTCTTTCGTGGGAAAAGATGCTCCTGAAAGGGTGCAGGAGACAAAAGTAATTGAAGAGCAAGATATCAAAGTGGAGAAGAAAAAGAAGAAGACGGCAGTGAAAAAGAAACCTGCTGAAGCTATAACTTCAGAAGGAGCGCCTTCTGAAAATACTGAAGCTTTTGAAGTTAAAGCACCATCTGTGGAAGAAATTAAACCAACCATTGCCCCAATAGAAGCTGTGGTTGTTGATCAGGTGACTTCAGAACAAGTAGCAAAGGAGTTTCTTGTCTCAGAACGACAGGAAATAAAACCAAGTGCCGCTGTTACTCTGAAAGACTCTATTTCAGTGACAGATTTATCATTAACACATGTTGCAGAAGATATTACACCTTTGAAAACTCCAGTTGCTGAAGAGATAAATGTTAGTGTCTGTGAACGAGAAGTTGCTTCGCTTCAGGAAACACATACTGGGGAGGTAGTTCAAGAACTTCCTACCCAACATAAACCAGCACAAGAGTCAGCAGATACCGTGGTCACATCACAGAAGGTGGTTACACAATTTGAAGTTCAGCCACATGAAACAGGTGAGATGTACACACCACAGGAGTTATCCAAGGAATCACAGGCTAAGACAGTACTGTCTGAAAATATGTCGATCACTGTAAAGCATGTAGAAGCATTTGAAACACACACAGAATTTGATCAATCTATTTCCACTACTGAGAACATACATCCCTCTGTTATACCCCAAACAACAGTTTCTGTCACATTTATAGGCACAGAACACAAGGAAGGTGTACTTTTGCCACAAGAGAAACTACACACTGTGTTAGCAACACAGTCCTTTCCAGAACATGATTCCATTACAGTCAGTCAAGTTAAAACTATTGAAATGCCATCAGAGCTTGCGACACCAGAGACACTTGGCGAGAGTGCGGTCACCACTTCATCACTCAGTACAGTGGAGCCTGTGTCTGTGACAGAGGTACAGTTGGCACAAGCACCAGGTGAGGAAATCATTCCACAGAAAAAACCACAAACTGAAACAGCTCAGAGGAAACTTTCCACACAGGAACCTTTACAGATACAAGAAGTTACAACGGAACAGATTGCTACAATTACGTCACCTGAAGAAACACAACAGGTCATAACACAGGTGCAGAAAGTCGTCCAGAAACGACAACTTGCAACCATAATCACAGATGTATCCACTGACACAAAGGAGGGAGACCTCAAGAATTTAACAACCACACAAGAACAAGCTACAGTTACCATACCAGAAACAAAACACCACCTTATTATTACTCAAGTTGAAACTGACCTATTTCCAGGTGAGGTTCCAGTATCATCTCTGCCTACGAAGGAACAGGTAAGCCCTACTATCCTCCAAGAAAAGCCATCTCTTATTGTTGAAGTTACCAAGACAATTGTGCAGGAGCAACCAGTAGAGGAAGAAGTGCCCAAGGTTCAGATAAGGGAAACGGACATTCCAGAGCATGAAATTTCCAAACATGAAGGCGATGAATTGAAAGCAGTTCATAAGAAACCAAAGAAAAAGAAGGTAGTTCCAGAAACACCAAAGACTGCAATTGAAGAGAGAACTGAAGATATTACCACGGAAGACTTGATTCCAGCAGAACTAGCCTCCCCTGAAAGGGCAGAAGAGTCTATCAGTGTTCTAGAGGGAAATGAAACGCTTGAAATCACTGAAGGGGTGACAACTACGGAGCTTGAGATGGTTGAGGAATCTCTTCCAGATAAAGCTGAACAAACCATAATTCTTCTTGAGGGTGCAGAAACTGTTCAAGTTGTCACTGAAATGAATGCAGAGGTGTTAGCGAAATTAAAGAAACCTGCTCCTGAGATTGCAGAAAAGATTGTTTTACCCCATGAGACGAAGGAAACCATCCAGGTCACACCAGAAATTACTACAGAAGAGTTAAAAAGTTCAGATGTACCAGTCCCAGCAGAAGTTGCACCTACTGAAGAGAGCAGAGAATCTGTAAGTGTGATAGAAGTAGATGTTAAAGCACCTGTGAGAAAGCCATCAAAGAAGAAAAAAATACCTGAGGAACAAAAAATAACAGAACTACACACAGAGGAAGAAACTGTTGAAGACTTGGTTCCAGAAATAACGTCACTACCAGAAATGGCAAAACCTGCTGTTCCAGTAACCAAAGTTGTCGAAGTAACTGAAGTGACTCCTGAAGCTACTACTTTAGAAATTGAACCACAGGAACCTATTACCGAAGAGGCTAAAGTAGTGGAAGAAACGGAGAAACCAATGAATGTAACACAGAACGATGTTAAGGCTCCAGCAAAGAAACCTTCCAAGAAGAAAAAGAAGGTTACTCAGCGTGTTAGAGATGAAAGTCCTGTTAAAGCAGATGTTGAGCAAGGGGGGGAGGAGGAGTTAAAGCCAGTTCCTGAAGATGTGAAATTAGGAGAGAAACCCGTTGAAAGCAAACCTGAATCTGAAAAGTTGATCAAGAAGAAGCCTTCTGAAGACAAACCTACCGATAAGAAACCAGTTCTCGAAAAAATGAAACCTCAGTTAATGAAGATTGAAAGAAAGGAAGTGAAGCCAACAAAAGTTAAGGTAGTAGATATTAAGGAAGAAGTACCACTGTTTGCAAAGGTGAAATTGAAGAAGGCTTCAGTACAAAAGAGAGAGATACAATCGACTGAATTACCCAAAGTCTTATTGAAGAGCAACTTGAAGGTTATACAATATCCCCCAGAAGAAATTAAACCAATTATAACTCATTTAAATGTGAAATCAGACCATGGTATTTTATCCAGAAATGCCCAAGAAGCCTTGAAATTGCAAAAGAAGAAAGTTAAGAAGATAAAGTTATCAGAAAAAGAACATATAGAACTTGAAGATTCAGCTTTTGAACTTGAGGAACCAGAAAAAACAATTGAAGAAGAGGAAGAAAATAAGACTTCATGGGAAAGAATGCCAAAGAAATCGGAACCTGAAGAAACTGAGGAGAGAAAACTGGTTATAGGTAAGGGGAAGATACCAAAAGTAGAAGAAGAGGTTGAACAGGTGACACTGAAGAAAATTCCTCAGAAACCACAAGAGGTTGATGAGACTGTTCCTATTAAACCAAAGAAAATTGAACCTCAAGACATAAAATTACCAGAGTCAAAAGAGGAAGTATCTTTAGAGTTAGAACCTCTAAAGAAACCACAAGCACACAAAGATATACCAGAAGAAACACAATTTCCACGGGTGGAGCCAGAAAAGCTTGAGGAGGAGAAACCGCAAGAAGAAAAATTAATAACTCCCAAACCTAAAGGAGAAAACCCAGAACCTGAAACAATTAAGATTCCACTGAAGAAAGGTGTACCTAAGAAACCAGTACCTGAAAAGGAGAAAGATATAACTCTCAGAAAAAAAATGGGTGAACCTGAGGAAGGAAAGCCAGAAGAAATAACTTTAAAACCATTTACAAAAAAGAAACCAGAAAATGAGCCAGAAGCAAAAGAGATTGAAGCTGGGAAACCGAAACTAATAGAGAAATCAAATGATGATGAAGATATTAAGCCTGTATTACTGAAGCATGATGAAGTGCCTGATCTTATTCAGGAAATAAAGAAAGCGGAGCCAGCAGAGGAAACGGTAGAAGAAATGAAAGAAGTGAAACCAAGAAAGCCAACAAAGAAGGAAACAACCGAAAATATAGAGGAAATAAAACCAGATGTAGTAAAAGAGAAAGCTAGTGACGAAATTACATTTACAGAAGTAAAGCCCAAAGAACCAGAGAAACCAAGTGAAGAGATAACAATAACAAAATTTAGAAAGCCGAAAGAACCCATGCAGCAAGAGGAATTTCAAGAAACTTCAATCGCAAAGAAAGAGCCCGAAAAAACAAAGAAGGAAGATGAAATAAACGAGGAAGTAATCCCAAAGAAGTCAGAGAAACCAAAGAAACCCATGGTAGAGGAAGTGCTTGAAGAACTAAAAATCAAGGAAATAGAGCCAGAGAAACCGAAGGAGGAGGAGCAAGTGAGTGAAGAAATCCCCATAAAGAAGATTAAGAAACCAAAGAAACCTGTGATGGATGAAGTAGCCGAAGAAATCACAATCAAGAAAATAGAACCAGAAAAACCAACGGAAGGGGAGGTAGTTGGTGAAGAAATCACTTTAAAGGAGATTAAGAAACTAGAGGTACCTGTGGTGGAAGAAGTAGCCGAAGAAATTACAGTCAAGAAATTAGTACCAGAAAAACCAAAGGAAGCAGAGGATGTGGGTGAAGAAGTCACTATGAAGAAGATTAAGAAACCAAAGGAAACTGTAGTGGAAAAGGTAGTCGAAGAAATCACAATCAAGAAAATGGAACCAGAGAAACCAAAGGAAGAGGAGGAAGTGACTGAAGAAATCCCATTGAAGAAGGTTAAGAAAACAAAGAAAACTGTGGTGGAAGAAGTAGCCGAAGAAGTAAGTATCAAGAAAATGGAACCAGAGAAACCAAAGGAAGAGGATGAAGTGACTGAAGAAATCCAATTGAAGAAGATTAAGAAATCGAAGAAACCTGTAGTTGAAGAAGTAAACGAAGAAATCACTATGAAGAAAGTAGAACCAGAAAAACCAAAGGAAGAGGAGGAAATGAGTGAAGAAGTCACTATGAAAAAGATTAAGAAGCCGAAGGAAACTGTAGCGGAAGAAGTAGTCGAAGAAATCATAATCAAGAAAATGGAGCCAGAGAAACCAAAGGAAGAAGAGGAAGTGAGTGAAGAAGGAACACTGAAGAAGGTTAAGAAACCAGAGAAACCTGTGGTGGAAGAAGTAGCTGAAGAAATTACAATCAAGAAAATAGAACCAGAAAAACCAAAGGAAGAGGAGGAAGTTGGTGAAGAAATCAGTTTGAAGAAGGTTAAGAGACCAAAGAAACCTGTGGTAGAAGAAGTAGCCGAAGAAATTACAGTCAAGAAAATAGAACCAGAAAAACCAAAGGAAGAGGAGGAAGTTGGTGAAGAAATCACTTTGAAGAAGGTTAAGAAACCAGAGGTACCTGTGGTGGAAGAAGTAGCCGAAGAAATTACAGTCAAGAAATTAGTACCAGAAAAACCAGAGGAAACGGAGGATGTGGGTGAAGAAGCCACTTTGAAGAAGATTAAGAAACCAAAGGAAACTGTAGTGGAAAAGGTAGTCGAAGAAATCACAATCAAGAAAATGGAACCAGAGAAACCAAAGGAAGAGGAGGAAGTGAGTGAAGAAGTTACACTGAAGAAGGTTAAGAAACCAAAGAAACCTGTTGTGGAAGAAGTAGCTGAAGAAATCACAATCAAGAAACTAGTACCAGAGAAACCAAAGGAGGAAGAGGAAGTGAGTGAAGAAATCGCTTTGAAGAAGATTAAGAAACCAAAGAAACCTGTGGTGGAAGAAGTAGCTGAAGAACTTACAATCAAGAAAGTAGAACCAGAAAAACCAAAGGAAGAGGAGGAAGTGAGTGAACAAATCTCTTTGAAAAAGGTTAAGAAACCAAAGAAACCTGTTGTGGAAGAAGTAGCTGAAGAAATCACAATCAAGAAAATGGAACCAGAGAAACCAAAGGAAGAGGAGGAAGTGAGTGAAGAAGTTACACTGAAGAAGGTTAAGAAACCAAAGAAACCTGTTGTGGAAGAAGTAGCTGAAGAAATCACAATCAAGAAACTAGTACCAGAGAAACCAAAGGAGGAAGAGGAAGTGAGTGAAGAAATCGCTTTGAAGAAGATTAAGAAACCAAAGAAACCTGTGGTGGAAGAAGTAGCTGAAGAAATCACAATTAAGAAACTAGTACCAGAAAAACCAAAGGAGGAAGAGGAAGCGAGTGAAGAAATCACTTTAAAGAAGATTAAGAAACCAAAGAAACCTGTGGTGGAAGAAGTAGCTGAAGAAATCACAATCAAGAAACTAGTACCAGAAATACCCAAGGAAGAGGAGGAAGTAAGTGAAGAAATCTCTCTCAAGAAAGTTAAGAAACCAGAGGTATCCGTGGTGGAAGAAGTAGCTGAAGAAATCACAATCAAGAAACTAGTACCAGAAATACCCAAGGAAGAGGAGGAAGTAAGTGAAGAAATCTCTCTCAAGAAAGTTAAGAAACCAGAGGTATCCGTGGTGGAAGAAGTAGCTGAAGAAATCACAATCAAGAAACTAGTACCAGAAATACCCAAGGAAGAGGAGGAAGTAAGTGAAGAAATCTCTCTCAAGAAAGTTAAGAAACCAGAGGTATCCGTGGTGGAAGAAGTAGCTGAAGAAATCACAATCAAGAAACTAGTANATAGAACCAGAAAAACCCAAGGAAGAAGAGGAAGTGAGTGAAGAAATCTCTCTCAAGAAGGTTAAGAAACCAGAGGTACCCGTGGTGGAAGAAGTAGCAGAAGAAATTACAGTCAAGAAAGTAGAACCAGAAAAACCAAAGGAAGAGGAGGAAGTGAGTGAACAAATCTCTTTGAAAAAGGTTAAGAAACCAAAGAAACCTGTTGTGGAAGAAGTAGCTGAAGAAATCACAATCAAGAAAATAGAACCAGAAAAACCCAAGGAAGAAGAGGAAGTGAGTGAAGAAATCTCTCTCAAGAAGGTTAAGAAACCAGAGGTACCNTTAAGAAACCAAAGAAACCTGTGGTGGAAGAAGTAGCTGAAGAAATCACAATCAAGAAACTAGTACCAGAAAAAACAAAGGAGGAAGAGGAAGTAAGTGAAGAAATCACTTTAAAGAAGGTTAAGAAACCAAAGAAACCTGTAGAGGAAGAAGTAGCTGAAGAAATCACAATCAAGAAACTAGTACCAGAAAAACCGAAGGAGGAAGAGGAAGTGAGTGAAGAAATCACTTTAAAGAAGGTTAAGAAACCAAAGAAACCTGTAGTGGAAGAAGTAGCTGAAGAAATCACAATCAAGAAACTAGTGCCAGGAAAACCGAAGGAGGAAGAGGAAGTGAGTGAAGAAATCACTTTGAAGAAGGTTAAGAAACCAAAGGCACCTGTGGTAGAAGAAATAGGCGAGGAAATCACAATCAAGAAAATAGAACCAGAATCAGTGGAAGTAAGTGAAGTCACTGTCCCTGCTGAAGATGTCACTGAAGAGTTCACCGTTAAACCAAGGAGGAAGGGTTCAAAGAAAGAATCAGTAGAGGAAATATCGGAGGAAATTACCTTGAGAAAGCTAAAGCCAAGAAAGAAACCTGTACCAGAAGTTCAAGAAGTTACAGAAGTAGAGAGTGTAACCATAATACCCAGTGTTACCAAAACCAAAGAAGAGATCGAGCAAGAATTTAATATCCAGCTTCATACTTATGAAGAAGAAGACATCACAATGTCAGGTAAAGTACGTCTTAAGAAGCAACGCCCAAAAACATTTGCTGAAGAAACAGGGGAAGAAACGATTAGAATCACTCAAGAAATAGAAGGATCAGAAGAGGCCGAAATTATCGAAGAGCCTGAAGAGGAGGAAGAAGACACAATACAGCTGCGACCTGACACAGTATCAGAAGATGTGGAGGAGAACTTTCAGGTGCAGCTGAAGCGAAAAACGTCACAGGATGTGCAACAGACATCTTATTCAGTGCAAGATATGGAGGAGGAAGTACAGATTGGCCTTAGGAAGAAGAAACCAGCGCCACTGGGCACAATGTATGAGGAGGAGTCGTTGGAGCTGAAGTTGAAACCCAAGCAGAAGCCATCAAAAACCATACAACAAGGTTATAAAACTGTTATTTCTGCTTTTATCCCAGCTGTAGTGAACAGAGATTACTGCTTATATTTCTGCAATACTAATGGAATGCCATAACACAATGCTTATTACTGCTTATTCTGCTTAATTGTATCACAGTCATGTGTGCCATTACATTGCCTATTGTGCTTAGTTCATTAAGTAGCTGCTTTTTCATTGTTTCATTGATTAGATTTCTTCTGCTAAAGCTATTTAATTTTACCTTCTCATTGTTTGTGCAGATTGTATGTTGCTTCTATATGTCTTCTACTTTTTATTGTGAAATGTATTATCTTTTAGAAAAGGAGAATCTTTTCTCATCTGGATATGTCTTCAGCAGAAATATGTCATTCTCAAACGGGTACTCTGTATGTCAGCAAAATGTATGATGTTCTTATTAAAGTAAGTATAAATATCAGAAAAAAGAACTAACAAGAAATAATGTCTGGCATACATCACTTTTGGCCTGCAAGCATGCAGTTGCTTTATTGGTTTTAAAAGGTGTAAATAAATTAACTGAAGTTTGTAAAGGGATACGACAGTTAACTTATCACTAACTAAACCTTGTGTTACTTTATAAAAAGAGTAAAATCTACTGTGAGTTGCTGGAAACCAAAATGTTTTGTAAGTTGTTCCCTTGATTTATGAACCTATTTGCTTACTGATCTTTACAATTGGAATCAGTTAATTGCATATATTATTAACACACTTTAAAATTTCTTGTTGAAAAGAAAATATGAGTATTTGAATAAAAACACATTGATATATTATGGCTAAAATTGCCGTTTCCAATCTCATTATGTTTACAGATTGAATCAGTCATGTCTTGTTTCTGTACTTACTATATTCAGCCATGGACTGACCATTCTGGGTGTGCTGTAGTGGAGGGAGCCATTATCTAATAAACAAATTGTTTTTTGACAGCCATAAATAAGAACTGAGTGTGCTTGCTTTCTCCAGTCATTTTGAGTTTTTTTTTCATAAAGTCTCAGAAGACAAAGTTCTTGTAATGATGAATGTACAATTATTATTTTGTTATATCATTTAATCTGTTAATGTCACAGACTTTCAAAATTGATACCATAAGTATACAGCCATTTCTATATGGCTGTCAAATCATGCAATGTGTCATTTAAAGAAGGACAAATTTTTAAAGGCAGATTTAATTTTCGGCTTGGGGTTTGAAATTCACTCTCTTGTTTTCTCAGTTCACATTAATCCCATCCTTTCAGCAAAATTATAATCCCAATAAAACTTTAAACTTAAATTGTTTGCATTAATTTGAATTGTTGATATACAAATATTTCAAATTTTATTATTATGGTAAAACCAATACCAAGGACAAGAACTAGTTTTAATGTTTATTACTGGTCATATCCTTAGAGGATTTTGTTTTATTGACTTCATTCTAAAATCCGTGTTAATGACTGATTAAACTGTAACGTCATAAATAATTTATGAAATTCATTGATGAGAATATTTATTTTAATTATCATACTTCAGCATTAATGTTAATATTTAAAATCAGGGAAGATTTCTTACCAAACAGATTCCAGTTCACTAGATAGTATGATGGACATTATAGCTGTGACAGTACACAGGCAGGACAGTGCACTTAAGAATGATGAAAGAACAAATTCTTAGACATGAAGTCCTTCACATAGTGATCTTCCTCCGTGTTCCTTAACTCTGAATATTGCAGGCATATATTAAATTTGATATTTCACGATCTAATTGGCTTAGAAAAATGTTTTAAGTAAAATCAATTTCTGAATATGTGGAGAGAATTAAGATGTTACAGATGTTGTTTCAGTTTGAGTCAAGACCCTTACAAGGAATGTCAATGCTAGAATAATTTATCCAAAATGTAATGTCATTTTTAACTCACAGTGTATTTTCAATTTGTAAATGTATCACAGAACTTAAAACACTAAATTCAGTATTACATGTGAAACACTGACAGTTTTTGACAGAAGGCACTGGACATTCCATGGTTGTGGGTTTCTTTAAGATATGACATTCAAGTGTAGAGGGTTCAGTTCCCTACATTTTTAAAAGCAGACATCAAGAGTAATCAACTTATTTGTTTGACAGTTACTTGCTTGAAGAAATGTGGAAATAAATTTGTAATTTTAAAAATGTAGTTGTATTGAGTAAAATTTATGCATTAATATAATTCACTTTGTGATGGTTGATGTAAAAGTATTCCTTGATTTGTGTTAAAGGCCCTCTACAGATCATAGGTAATAGACTGTATCGAACTAGCAGTGTAAAGGACATGATTTCTAAGAGAGCATTATTCCTTTGTTTATTGTTTATTGTTATTAAATAACTCCACAAATCCTGTACAGGGGCTTTAGCACCCATAGGATATAGAGCTCGTCAAACTGATACAATCTCATACAAAACATAAAAAGATACATGGTGTAACATTAAATCAAGCCATATCATAACAACATAGATTCATACACTGTTAGAAATACAACCTTTTACTTCTTACTACTCCAGGTTCATTCGTCACAATCATTAAACATTAATCATAAAACAATATCACATAATACTAAGTAATAAACATAATTAAAATTAAAAAATATAACATACAGTTAATCCCATTTACATCCAATCAGTATTTACAAATTATTTTGATTAAAAAACTCCTCTAATGAATAAAATGACCACGAGCAAAGATATCTCTTTAATGCTGGTTTAAACAATTCAATTTTATATGATAATGATTTTATATTTATAGGGAGATGGTTAAATATCCTCATTCCAATAGCATATGTCCCTTCATTATATATTGTTAATCTAGCAGATGGAAAATGAAGGTCAGTATTGTGCCTAGTATTTAGACCATGAATTTCTTGATTAGTTTTATAAAGATGCTTATTTCTCACAACGAATATCATCAAAGAAAATATATATTGAGAATAAAATGGTAAAATTTCCCAATCTTTAAAAAGTTGTCTACAAGAGTCTCTACATCTAGTCTTAGTCATAATACGGAGTATTCGTTTTTGCATCTTAAAAACACTAAGACTATGTGGTGAATTACCCCATAATAAAATACCATAAGATAATAATGAATGAACATATGCAAAATATATCATTCTTAGAGTATTCTCCGTCATAAGGGGCGTGACAATCCTGATAGCATAACAAGCGGAACTTAACTTTTTTAAAACATGTTCAATGTGCCCCTTCCGTGACAACTTTTCATCAATAATCAGTCCTAGAAATCCTTTGTATTTGATCATCAGCAGAATGTGAAAATGTGTATTAATATAGCTTAATTACACAAGCTTTGTACTTTCCTGTTAACATCTGAAAAATAATACATTAGTATTTAAATTGAAATTTTGAATATTTAATGATATAAAGAGTGTAAGTGACGGAAATTTTCTTTCTGAAGATTGGCACTTCAAGATGGAAGTGAGAAAATTAGAAACCTTCAGGAAATGGGGATATATATATTTATAGGACTGCTGTAATAAGTAATCAGTTTCATTATTTCAGTGAATGTCAGTTTCAGAAGAACCACCACTCTCACTAGTAGAACATAAAACGTGCCATTAAATGACTTTCCTGTTAATAAAATATTTCATAGTTCTTAGAATCATTTAATAAATGTGTTACAAGTAACAGAAGTCCTCACTCAGACTTTTACTGTGATTTGTCTTCAGTTAGATCTTCAATCACTTGTCATAACTGTCATAGAATTGTCAGGTACAAAGTCCTGCTGTGCTTACAAATGAGACTGGGATTCATATTACAGTTCTGAATTTTGGAACACTTAAGAGAAACAGATGTAGGTATTCAGTGGTTCTTTATGCTACAAAGTAATTGTTAATCTGCAGAGAAAATATGCTGTTGTAAACCATATTTAAGTGAGAATTAGCTGTATTGCCAGTGTCTAAGAGCCTAATAGTTTCATAATATGAGACCTGCCATTATGCAGTATGTCTGGCAATATTACTGTTATTATTATGGAGTTAAATTTTTCCTTCCTTCTTATAAAATTATCATATGAGTTTACTTTCTGGATTTCATTTTAATCAATTATTTAATGATGCTTCCAATATCAAAACGATATAAAAGGTCAGATAGAATGATTGATGAATTTGGAAAGTATCTGGAAGGAAGCAATCGTGACTGAAACTAGGTACCATTCTAGAATTTATGTGAAGGGGCAGGAAAACCACAAGAAACCTCTCTCAGGATAGCCTTGTCTGATCCAAAATTTGAACCAAGAATCTCCTGAATATATGTCTGGAGTGTTTCTGCTACACTGGTTCCTTTGGCAGCATGATTTAATGTTTGTGGCTGTTCATGTGATAGTTTTGTATATAAAAGACTGGATGATTGATGAAATCCAAATAAATAGCCATCATTGTGTCACACCATAGTTAAATAACTCTAAACTTAGAATAATAGTAGTCCTTGAGACAAATTGTGTGACAGAATTATTTTTAGAAGAAATCAACACTGTTGCAAACACTTAATGAGATTTAAATATTCATTCATTTCCTTTTTTTTTCCATATATCCATACAGGTAAAAAACCTAGGATGTGGAAATAGTCCCTTTGAAAATAGATGTGTCCAGATACATATAATAAATTACATAATTAAATCACATACATTAGTCAATTAACATAAATAATAAAATAAAAAACTTCATACAGTTTTAATTAATAAACATAATCTAAAAAGAACATTACTATAAAACTTAAAATTAATACAATTTAATTTAAATTACCTAAATTAACTGAATTAAATGCATTACAAATTTACACACTTAGGACCAATTATCTTTCTTTATTTATTTTATTTTCCCATAAATCAAAATACATTGATACAGGACTGATCATATCATAATACTGTCGATAAGAAACAGGCGATTCTACAGGTAAACAATACATATAAATCATGCTTATCAAAACGAAAAGCTGCATAAAATCAAGACAAAAGATTACATCAACCACGCAAAAAACCATATCAGATCAGCAATCAGATTATAAATTATTTGTAAGAAGCAACGTTTTCCATTATTCTCCAATTTAGATATTCCCGCAATGAGTAAAAGGAGCCAATATGGAGATTTTTTAAGGCATGTTTAAACTTATTAACATCATTTGTCATGTTCTTAAGATTCTGTGGTAAATTATTAAATATCATAATCCTGGAACAGTAGACACCTTTTTGGATTTTAGTTAATTTATAAGTTGAAGGATGTAAATCTGAACCTTGTCTGGTATGGATACTATATATATCAGAATTTAGTGTGAAAGTATCCATATTTTTAACAACAAACATGGATATTGAAAATATATATTCATTGTCATTAGTGCCTTTTCCTTCCTTTTACATAAATGGGTAGAAGAATCAGGGTTAGAGACTGGGCAGTTTAGTGAAGCGAGATATCTGTAGGGACCTAAGTGCTTTCCTGAAAGCATACAGTGTGCTGTCCTGTCTGTGGAAAATCAGTAATATCTGTTCACATTTACTGACATTTCTGTATCGATGTTATTAAGAATAGAGAATGTGTAAATATATGTGATTTGTTTATTTTACAACCTTTGTGATAAATTCTTAAATGTAAAGACCAATGTATTTTAAAGTTCTGCTTTGCTCACATGTTTTGGTTATTCAATATTTATCAGGCTTCTAATAAAGTTATATTTGTATGATACATTGTTTTTGTCTTGTAACACTTATTTTCTCATTTGACAGTTATTTTCTATGTACTGTATTTGTCTCATAAAATCATATTCAGCCATAAATAAGCAACATTTACATTAACAGGCATTGAATCTCTTATAGGGATATTATGTATTAATATATTGCTACAACATAATGTCTTTTAATTCATTTTCAGAAGCTGTCTGTCTTAGCATAACCAAAGAAACTGAAGTTTTTGAAGAAGGTAAGTAGTCATTACACTTAAATTTTCAGTTTGAATTCTATGCATATTCATCATTCTTCTAGTCTTAGTATAGAATAATAAGAATTATGAATCTGAATTCTAACCTAGCTATAATTAAATCCAACTTTTTTGAGTGGTTAAAATTTTCAAAGGTCTTTTCGAATATTACCTATTGTGATACATACATGTAACTGGTAGAGTGAATGTCAACCAGTCATTACACATTTCTTTCATGACATATGTGTCATTGTTCCTCCAAGATGATATAGTATCGTTACAATATTGTGCACTTTAGAACTCAGTAAAATTTATTTGTAAGAGGCAGTCAAATGAAAACGGGTCACCATGCATAACTCACACAGCACGCAAGTTGGTAACACTGGAATTTGCTTATGGTACGAACATCTGGCAGGGACTCAGGAAAGCAAAGTGACAACGTCCCTTTGCACACTAGTCGTTTGTTTATTGTGCTGGAAGTAAGGTTAGCACTATGTGTAGTCGTCTAACATCAGTAATGGAGGCGGGTAAAGAAGAACAGCGAAGTGTAGTGTGCTTTTTGACTACTGAAGGAGTAGGAGGAAGAGAAATTAATCGTCACATGTCTGTTGTTTACGGTGAACACAGCATGTCACATTCGCATGTGCTGGCATGTCATAAGCGTTTCTGAGAGGGACGTGTGTCACTGCAAGATGATGCTCGCCCAGGACACGCTCATCCTGTCATCACTCCTGATGTTATTGCTGCGTTGGATGGTCACATCCGGGCAAACCGATGGATCACTGTGGAAGAAATTAGTCTTTTGATGGGAATAAGTCACGGTTCCGTACACGCCATTGTGACAAAACACCTGCTGTACCGCAAAATCTGCACGCAGTGGGTTCCACGTCAACTCACAGAGGGACGGAAGACTCAGAGAATGGCTGCATCACTGGGTCACTTGCAACGATACTATGAGGAAGAGTATGCTTTTCTGTCCCATATATGATGAGTAAAATGGAGGAGTGAAGGAAATGGAAGAATGTCAACAATGAAGAAGGCAGGAGGAAATACAGGAGACTGAGGAATGAAGAGCCACGGACAGGGCCAAAAAGGAATATCTTGAGAAGATATATAATGAGAACAGGACGTTATGATTTGATGTACATGAAGACAAAAGAACTAGGATGGAAAGAGAAGCATGGGATTCAAAATATTGGCATCGAAGACTCCCAGGGGAATAGAATAGTAGATCAGAGGCAAGTGCTGAAAATTTTGGGAAAATTATATTACAGAACTATGTGATCGACCTAATCGGCCAGAAACCTTAGAAGTTGAACTGGAAGAGGAAGTAGATACAGACAAGAAAGGACCATATATTTTACAAAGTGAGGTGGAAAAAGCTATCAAGGAAATGAGGAAGGGAAAGGCTACAGGAGATGATGATGTACCTGAAGATGTGCTCAAATTACTGGGAGAAGGTGGTTTGAAAACACTGACAAAACTAATGAACACGATATATGAAATTGAAGAGTGGCCCAAGGACTTTACAGAAGTTACAATGATTGCCTTAAAGAAAAAGACAAAAGCTACAAAATGCAGCGACCATCGCACAATAAGTCTTATTGCACATACAGCAAAGATAATAGCAAAGATACTTAAAAGAAGAATTGAAAGGAAAATAGAGGATGTACTTGGAGAAGATCAGTTTGGATTTAGAAGAGGAAAAGGAACCAGG